TTACTCTTTTGGTGAAGTCTTTTGAAGAGCATAGGTGTTTGATTTTTAGAAGATCCCAGTTATCTAGCTTATCTATTGGGTTTTGTGCATTGATGGTTATGGTTTGTATCCTGTTAATGCCATGTACTAAGGTCTGAAGTGTTGGTCCTATTTTTTCTTCTATGAACTTTATAGTTTTAGGCTTTATATTCAGGTCTTTGATCCTGTTATGGGAACTTTTTTATGTAAAAGTTTTATAATTAAAATAATGGAATTTTATTCAACAGATTATCACCTTTGGACAGAGAGCACGTACATTCACTGCTGTGTATCCATATCCCCACTCATATACCCATGCTCTTATCTCCTCCTTTTTATAGTTGCTACCTAACCAAACTCGGACTTTTTTGTGAGTCACTGTGGTTGACCTACTAACACTTTCTGGCCACCTATCTCATTGCTGTAACTTAAAGGGGAATGCTGACAAAAGGAAGGATTATAAAAATATTAGGATCTCTCAAGCAGAAGCCTCTACAGATGCAGGATATAGAGTACAGGTGCAGTAGAATGATGGGATGCAGAACTCAAATACTAGTAAAAAGACCAGACTTAATGGTCTGACTAAGACTGGAGGTGCCCCGGAAAGCACGGCCCCTGGTCTCTCCATCACCCCAGAACTAAAACAGTTTCCGAGGCCAACTCTTCAGGCAGGGATTGGACTGGACTGTGGGACATAAAGTGATACTCGTGAAGAATGTGCCTCTTAGACAAGTAGATATAAGAGACCAAAGGGGCAGCTTCTGTCCAGAGGTGAGAGGGGAAGGCAGAGAGAGTTAGGAGCTGGTTGAATGTTCATGGGGAATTGGGCGGAGGGGAGGAGTGTGCTGTCGCAGAATGAGGTGAGCGGTTGGGCTCTCATAACAGTGTATGTTTAAAAAAAAAAAAACAATTCTGTATGGAAGACTAACTTGAAATGTAAACTTCATTTAATTACATCAATAAATGTAAACATAAAATCCAAAAAAAAAGAAGAAGTACAGGTGAACACAGTTGCCTCTATAGATCTTCCTAGAGACATATGTAGAAATGTCTTGTCTAGTAAATTTCAGTCAAGTATGTTTGGGATAAAAGGGTAGGAGCATTATTTGTTTATTTTTGTTCTGTCTTTGATGGTTCAGTTCTTGCAGGACTGAACCATTTTTTTAAATTTTTGCATTAAGTTTTGGGGATCAGTTTACTAATAAGTTATTTCTTGTTCATCTGATGCTGATTTCTATTTTTAAGGAAATTGTAAATATTTATCCATCTATCAATCCACCCACCTTGACAGCACACCAGTCAAACAGAGTTTGCAATGCTCTTGCATTACTGCAATGTGTGGCATCACACCCAGAAACCAGGTAAATGCTTTGTGTGGGATTTATATTGAATTTGGTCCTAAATTTCCTCTGAGTGATGAGGGGAGGGGTATGCAGTGGGATATACGAATGTGTGTATGTGCGTGTGTGTCTCGTCAGGACTCCTGTTTACTTTTTACCCATTCATAGCAGTGAAGTTTAAAGGATCTGTGTTCACATCTCAGGAAAGGTAATTATGTGCCAGGCATACAACTAATTCTCCCTCTTAAACTCATGGTAGGCATCACTGTGCCATGTGGGAAGCCATGGTAGGAGTTCAATAAATATTTTAATCCAGCCCTTTTTCCCACTAAGCCCAGATTTGGCCTCAGAATCCTTAACACAGTGTTCTAGGTAGCCTCTATAATGGATGGGAATTGGCATGTGAGTTGAAACTTTTCTCCCATCCTGCCATAGCTGAAAAATTAAGAAAAGGGAAATTCTGTTCTGGAATCTGCTATGTGGCCTTTTATGGCTTTAAGGCACTTAATAGTCATTTCATTAAAGGTTTTCCTCTCTCTGTAAAGTTTCTTTATGAAATCTGAGTGCTAGGCTGGCACTAACCCTTTTGGGCTTTAGAGAAGTTACCAATAAAATTACTTTTAAGTACTAAAGAAAAACACAAGAGTACTTTGTGTGTTAAAAATCTTGGGTGTTGTGCAACTATAAATAATAGTATAAAGTAACAGATCAGTTTCCATATTTATTACCTGACATACAGCTGCAGATTGAAGTGAGTTTAGAATACTTTGTGTATCAGAAAGGACTAAAAACAAGAGTGTGCATTTAAGCATAGCAGATAAACCTGATAATGGCTGCTTTGTTTTGTTTTCTTGGCTTATAAGGTTTTGTTTGACTGCACCTGTGAATATTATTCAGTCATAGATTAGATGAGGGAGGGAATCTAGGCAAATCTCTTGAGCAGTTAATAGCATTTTATGACCTGTTTTTAAAATCTGCAGTTGACTATTTTAAATTAATCCATTTTGAAGGTACTTGGTACTGATTACAGGGAAAATGACATATTCTCTTAACCATTAGCCTAAACTAGGGTTTGTCAACCTCAGCACTATTGATATTTTTGACTGAATAAGTCTTTGTTGTGGGCAAGCAGGAGGGGGCTGACCTGTGCATGGCAGGATGTTTAACAACATGCTTGACTTCTGCCTGCTAGATGCCAATAGCACCTCCTCAGTTGTGACAACCAAAAATGTCTTCAGATACTGCCACATGTCCCCTGGGAAGCAAAATTGCCCCTAATCGAGAACCACTGGTCTGGACTAATGACCAGTAACATTTTTTCCTGAGGATTCTTTGCTCTGGCAATGTTATAGGCCTTACAGAATTAACCACCCAGGAATTTGAATGTTCAAGATCAGTAGAAATCAACTCTGGGCAGTGAACATGATTATTTTTTTCTTCCAGGTCAGCATTTCTTGCAGCACACATCCCCCTTTTTTTGTACCCCTTTTTGCACACTGTCAGCAAGACACGTCCCTTTGAGTATCTTCGGCTCACCAGCCTTGGAGTTATTGGTAAGTTGTTAGGGTTGTTTTTGTAAGCCTGAAATCGTCGTTCATAATAGTAGTCTAGATTGGGCGTTTCACCTTGCCTCTTCTAGCTTTTGTTCACCAATTGTTTAGTTTTGTCTTTGAGGTTGAGCTTATTTTCATTAATAAGTGAGAATCAGGAACATGATGGTTCTTATCAAGCACCGTAGTGAGTGTTGTTAATAAGGCTGTGGAGATTAAATAAGCCTATTTGTGATTACATGCAGCATATATGTAGAACCATTTACTAGAATTGTAGGGAGAGTAAAGATTGAATAGAGAATATTATTTCAGGAATAAGATTTTGAGTTTGGAATTTTTTGTCTGTCTTTCTCACTTCTAACTGTTCTCCCATAACGAAAGCAGTTAAATCTTCTTAATGCTTTATATACGTTCACTATGGGGGACGTGTCTAAAATAATTTTTACTCAAGAAAGTGATAAATAAGCCATTTCAGATCTCAGGCTCCTGGGTGGTAAAGAATTATCTTTGGATTTGTGGAAGGTAACACATATAAGAAAGTTTCTTTTTCAGATCACCTTTTTTCAATGTCTCTTTCTCATAAATTTTTTTAGGTACTGAACAAACAATAAGAACATTGATTATACAAACTTTATTTTATTGGATTATTGTTTTTATGCTCAATTGGTATTTACATCTCTATGATTATTAACCATAAATCAGAAAGTAAAATTTTAAAGTTTGGCATTTTCAAGACATATTTCCAGATACATTTTATTCCACTTTTAAGGATCAATCATTGTCTCATATACTCCAAGTGAATGTTATTGTTTTTTGCGTCTCCCTGCAAGTGGTATTCTAATTAGAAATTTTTCCAACATAAACTTTTCTGCTTTTAAGCTATAAAAATTTCTCATGCAGGGTTTAAAACATCAACATGATTCCAGCCAAAAGAAAACATTTATATCCTTAACTCTGACTCAGTCGTTCTACTTCTGATTTTTTTGACCACTGCAGTAGGATGGTGCATTTATAGGGTGTTAGGATAAAGGTTAAGAATAGGGGAATGAAAAAAAAAGACTTGGACAGTACTAAGCCAGTTGTCTGCCCTTGCATATATTTTCTGGAACTCAATTTATCCAAGTCAGTTGAGAGAGAAACAGAAGGTGAATATTTGGGCCAAGAACATTTTGCTTACAGCTCAAGGGTTATCATACAAGTTTGAATATAAATGAAGTAATACACAAGGGAAATTAAAAATATTTGTAATAGAGTAAAAGTGAAAACAACATATCAAAATTTATGGGATGCAGCTAAAGCTGAACTTAGACAAATTTATAGCATTAAATACTTAGAAAGGTCTCTAATCAGTGGTCTAAGCTTCCACCTTAAACTAGAAAAAGAGCAAATTAAACCAAGGCAGACAGAAGGAGGGAAAAAAAGAAAGAGGGCACATTATTATAGACTTTACGTACATTAAAACAATAATAAGGAATACTACTAACAACTCTACTCCTATAAGTTTGACAACTTCAAATGGACGAATTCTTCCAATTAAAAAATGGGCAAAGGAAATGAACAGACACTTGACCGAAGAAGACATTCAAGCGGCCAACAAATACCTAAGGAAATGCTCGCGATCACTAGCCATTAGAGAAATGCAAATTAAAACCACAGTGAGATACTATCTCACCCCAGCATTACTGGCACGAATCAAAAACACTGGAAATAACAAATGTTGGAGAGGCTGTGGGGAGATTGGGACTCCTGTGCACTGCTGGTAGGAATGCATAATGATACAACCATTTTGGAAAATGATATGGCGCTTCCTCAGAAAGCTAGAAATAGAAATACTGTACGATCTAGGAATCTCACTCCTAGGAATATATCCTAGAGAAATAAGAGCCATCACACAAATAGACATGTGCACACCCGTGTTCATTGCAGCATTGTTCACAATAGCAAAAAGATGGAAACAACCTAGATGCCATCAACAGATGAATGGATAAACAAACTATGGTACATACACACAATGACGTATTATGCAACAATAAAGAACAATGATCAATCTGTGAAGCATCTCATAACATGGATGAAACTGGAAGACATTATGCTGAGTGAAATAAGTCAATCACAAAAGGACAAATATTGTATGAGACCGCTATTGTAGAAACTCATGAAAAAGTTTACACACAAATAGTAACAATCTTTGTTGGTTACGAAGGATGGGAGGGGTGGGAGGGAAATACTAAATAGACAGTAGATAAGTGGTAGCTTTGGTGAAGGGTAAAACAGTACACAATACTGGGGAAGCCCCCATAACTTGTACAAGGAAAGGTCATGGAAACTCCATAGACACATCCAAACTCCCTGAGGGACCGAACTGCTGGGCGGAGGGCTGTGGGGACCATGGTCTCAGGGAACATCTAGCTCAATTGGCATAACACAGTTTATAAAGACAATGTTCTACATTCTACCTTGGTGAGTAGCATCTGGGATCTTAAAACCATGTGAGCAGCCATCTAAGATACTCCACTGGTCTCACCCTTTCGGGAGCATGGGAGACTGAAGAGAACAGGATACAAGGAAAAGATCAGTCCAAAGGACTAATGGACCACAGCTACCAAGGCCTCTACCAGACTGAGTCCAGTACAGCTAGATGGTTCCCAGCTACCACCACTGACTGCTCTGACTGGGATCACAACAGAGGGTTCTGGACAGAGCCAGAGAAGGATGTAGAACAAAATTCTGAGACACAAAAAAAGACTAGATTTACTGGCCTGACAGACTGGAGAAACCCCGAGAGTATGGCCCTCAGACACCCTTTTAGCTCAGTAGTTAAGTCACTCCCAAGGTTCACCGTTCAGCCAGGGATTGGACAGCCCCATAAAACAAAACAGGACTAATGAGGCACAGCAGTCCAGGGACAAGGACTAGAAGGCAGGAGGGGACAGGAAAGCTGGTGATAGAGAACCCAAGGTTGAGAAGGGACAGTGTTGACATGTCATGGGGTTACTAACCATTGTCATAGGGCAATATGTGTACTAACTGTTTAATGAGAAACTATTTTGTTCTGTAAACCTTCATCTAAAGTACAAAAAGAAAGAATTATCTCTGAGATCAAATTGACAACAGCAACTCAAAAGGTTTGATGGGAAGCCTAGGGGACAGTGAGTTGAAGACAATGGTGATGGAGTAATTTGGAAAAGGATAGTGAGAATAGCAGCACAACTGGAAGAATGTAATCGATGTCACTGAATGGTACGTGTAGAAACTTTTGAAATGATGTAATTTTGGCTATTATATTTTCAGTAAAAAAAAGGTCCTCCGAGGTTGAGAAGGGAGAGTGTTGACATGTTGTGGGGTTGTTAACCAATGTCATAAAACAATATGTGTACTGACTGTTTAATGAGCAACTATTTGTTCTGTAAACCTTCACCTAAAGTACAATTTAAAAAAAAAAAAAAAAAGGACAAATTCTTTAAAAGACACAATCTGCCAAGACTCACTCAAGATAAAAATAGATAATCGGAATAGTCTTATATCTATTAAATAAATTGCTTTTGTAGGTAAAAACTTTCTAACATAGAAAACTCTAGGCCCAGATGGCTGCACTGGTGAATTCTACCAAATTTTTTAAAAAGAGATAATACCAATTCTATAAAATGTTTCCAGAACATAAAAGAGGAACACTTCTTAGTGCTTTTTATGAGGCCAGCATCACTCTGACAATAAAGCCAGACAAAAATATTATTAGAAAAGGACACTAAAGACCAGTACCCTCATGAACATAGATGCAGAAATCTTTAACAAAATACTAACAAATCAAATCCAGCAATATCTAAAATGGATCATTGCAATCAAATAAGGTTTATTCCAGGAATGCAAGGCTGGTTCAACTTTCAAATATCAGTTAATGTGACCATATCAAGCGATTAAAGAAGAAAAATCACATGATCATCTCTGTAGATGTAAAAAAAAAAAAAAAAAAAGCCATTGACAATTCAGCATCATTCATGATAAAAACTTCCAACAAGCTAGGAATGGGGGAGGGGGAGACCTTTCTCAACCTGATAAAATGCATGTATTTAAAAGACTCCTACAGCTAACATAGTTAATGTTGAAAGACTAAATGCTTTCCTCCTAAGGCTGAGAACAAGGCAAGGCTGTCCACTCTCACCACTCCTATTCAGTATCATTTTGTATGGCCTAGCCAGTGCAATAAGACAAGAGAAAGAAATAAACGACATACAAATTGGAAAGGAAGAAATAAGACTTATTCACAGACAACTTGACTGACACACAAAATCCCAAAGAATCTACAAGGAAGCTGCTAGAACGAATTAGTTTAGCAGGGTTGCAGAATACAAAGTCAGTATTCAAAAAATCAATCTTATTTCTGTATACTAGCAATAAACAATTAGGAATGGAAAATTTTTTAAATTACCATTCATAACAGCACCAAAATAACATGAAAAACTTGGGTAGAAATCTTACAAAATTTGGGCAAGATCTGTAGCTGAAAAAAACACTGATGAAAGAAATCAGAGGAGACCTAAATAAATAGATACACCATGTTCACTGATTGAAAGACTCAATATGGATGGCAGTACTCCCCAAAGTAATCTATAGATTCAAAGCAATTCTGACAAAATCCTAGCACAATTTTTTGTTGAAATTGACAATTTATATGAAAAGGCAAAGGAACTAGAATATACAAACATTTTTTTAAAAGAACAAAGATAGAAGATACACACTACCTAATTTCCAGACCTACTGGAAAACTATAGTAGTAAAGATAGTGTGATATTAGAGAAAGGACAACCATGTAGATCTATGGACCACAATGGGGACTCCAGAAATAGACCCATATATATGGTCAGTTGTTTTCTGACAGGTGCAAAGGTAATTTAGCAGAGAAAGGATTATCTTTCCAATAAATGGTGCTAGAACAATTGGATATCTGTATGAGAAAAAAAAAAATGAGCCATAATCCATACCTTGTACCCTATACAAAAATTAATTCAAAATGGATTATAGACCTACATGTAAAATCTAAATTCAATAGTAATAGACATATGCTTTAGGCTGTATTAGTAAATTATGTTACGTGTTGGTTGCTGTGGGGTTTAGATATATATAACATTTATAGATTGCCAGTTCTGATTAAAGCAAATGATATTCCTTAATTGAATTTAGTTATTATAGGTCCAAGTAACCAAGGCCTTTCATATAAAAGCTAGTAATGCATTAGATGGCTTAAGGAGCAGTCATTTGCTCAATGGTGCAGTGCTTCCCTGTATACAGAATGAAGAAAATATCATTAAACTGTGTCTGAAACCTGATTAGTGGTATTAATAGTCTAAAAATCCATAGAATAATAGGTTTGGAATGAATTTTAGAAATCATCTGTTCCAACTGATTTTATAAAGAAACAGGCATACAAAGGGAAAGTAACTTTATCTATCAAACTTAAGTAAATTAGTTGCAGAACCAGGAATCAAATCCAGGTATGTGTTTGTTTCTTGTTTGTAGCTATGTTTTTCTCTTGGGTATACCATACAATCTTTGTGCTCTTTGGGAAAAGGGGCCATTGAATAATCAGGAAGTAATGTTTGTTTATGCCCATTGAGAAGCAGTATTCAGACTGGTACCATTTCTTTGCTACCTGGAAATATACTTTAATAGTGATGCAGAATTCTTCCCCCTCACTGGGAATTGGAAAGAAACATAGTTGGAGAATAGATTGGTGATACTATTTTAACATTGTCTACCAAGAGTAATAGAAAAATTATTTCGATGGCTAAACTGCTAACTACGTGATGAACCAAACTTGATACCTGATCTTTCAGTGCTGACTGATGTCAGTCAGCCTATGCTTTTCTTCTTTTTTTTTTTTTTTTAACATGGGTATGAATCTGATTCCCTGACACACAGCCACAGTTTGTGTTCTGTGTTATTTAAATTTCCCAGCTAGTTGGGTAAACAAAATGAATTTTAAATGAGATCCTGACTCTAAAAATAATTTTTGTCCATATTTTCTTTAGGGGCCTTGGTGAAAACAGATGAGCAAGAAGTAATCAACTTTTTATTGACTACAGAAATTATCCCTTTGTGTTTGCGCATTATGGAATCTGGAAGTGAACTTTCTAAAACAGTATGTATTTTTAGCTTAATTAGATTCTACATCATAGTGGCTCTTTAGCTGCTTCTCATTATGGTTCTGGGATTGTTTTCTTCCTCTCTTCAGGCTTTTTTGAACCTTTTATGAATTTTTTTTCTTTTAATAAAAATTGTTATAGAATTATCATTAAAAAACTCAGACCATTCAGAAGGATATCAAATTAAACATGAATTTCTCTCTTGTCTCTGAACCCACATCCCATACCACAAATCTATTATTTCATTATGCTGATCTATGAGGAGAAAATTATTTTAAATCTCACATCTGGAAAAGGTAGAGAAATTCAGAGAGAATAGTTGGGATAAATAGACCTTAATATAGGCCATGGATAAGTATTGGAGTATTTAAATAGAAGAAGAAAATGTTAGAATTATTACATGGTAACTAGCTGTTTTCTGTCACCTCTAATGTCCTAACAATGTTTTTCAAGCTCTGAACAGTCATGACCTATCTCTATTCAGAATCCTCTAAGGGTTGTTCTCTACTATCTACAGAACCAAGAGTTCTTTACCTGGGTTCCTTGGATGAGCTTCTGGATGATTTGCATGCAAAATTTTATGCATATACAATAATTCTGAGCTTTGTTATAGCTCTCTTCAGATTCTCAGTGGAGTGTATGAACCCCCTCCCCCAAATACAGAGTTTAACACCCTAGCCTTCCCTTGAATTAACAGGCAAACAGGCATATGGCATTAATGCTGATCCTCTAACCACATGCTTAGAAGTTTTTCCATTTTTGGCAATCACTTCTCTTGGTCTATGGTTGATTATTATTGAGAGCACAGACACAAATAACACTTTTCCCATATTGCATGATTTGTTGTCTTTCAGAATTGTTCCAGCTGTCAAACTATATATCTCATGTACACCCTTGTAACGTTCATTGTTTTCTCATCACTTTCAAGTTTCAATCTTTTTAATTCTCTTTGTTTCCATTGTGTATCTCTTCTTAGTAGCACTTTCCACTCTCTCACTGCTTATGCCTTATCAGACATGGTGGGACTAATTACATTTTCTTTTTTTTTTTTTAAACCTCAAAAGGAAGCTCAATTTGATAAAAGTACATTGCCATTGAAAATTGATAGCATTGATGTATTTTTTGCTCTGGAATGTACCTTTGTTCATATGTATGACGTGCTTATAAATTCTAAGTTCATAAGTAGATGACCTATGCGCAATTTTTGTGACCCTTTGAGAACCTGGTGCTCTTATACACTGTTTTTGAGAATCAGAAGTCTTAAAATTTTGTTTGTGCTTAGTGCTTCTGCTTCTAGAAATACTAAGGACGTAATTGTGAATGCATAAGTGTTTAGCTACAATGTTTATTGCTATACTCTACATAGTATTGAGGTATAGGAAATAATATAAATAAGTAACAATACCTAGGGATATTGGAAATAATATAAATAAGTAGCAATACCTACGTATCCCATTGCCACTGAATCAATTCCAACTCATAGTGACCCTACAGGACAGAAGTGCCCCGTAGGGTTTCCAAGGAGCGACTTGGTGGATTTGAACTGCTGACCTTTTGGGTAGCAGTCATAGCTCTTAACCACTACTCCACCAGGGCTCCAAATAGCAATAAGTGATTAAATAGTTCATGATATGTTCATATAATGGAATACTGTACAGCCATGACAAATACATTGTGGAATAGATTCCATATATTGACATGGAAAGATAGTCAAGACAAATTAAGTGACTATGTAACAATACAAAGACTATGATTAGATTTTTGTGTTGAGGAAAAAAAAACTGAGTTTATAGTGGTTATCTTGGGATAGTAGGATTATAGGATTTAAATATCTCTATTTCCTGATTTTCTGTAATAACTACCTCAGTTATTACCTCTCCCATCATAATAATCCCTCCCCTGTTTCCATTCCTTATCCAGAACTAGATCCGTCCCGTCTCTAGGTTCCCATTGACCTTTATGCATTAACTGGAATACTTCCCATATCTTGCCTTTTATAGTCAGTCCCTGGCTTGTCTTTCTCCCTTTGCTCCATGCAAGCTGGGACCTTGTGTTCACTTTTTATGTGCAACACTTAGTGTAACACTTTGTCCATAATAGGTACCCAGTTAAGCAGAGGTTCTAGATCAGGGCTGTGTTACAGGCTGTGAAGTGTTTTAAAAATACAGATGTCCAGATTCCATTCTTGACCTACTGAGTCATTCTCCAGGGTGGTCAAATCTGAGCATTTGTGTTTTTTAAAAAATCCCTCCAGGTGAGTGTTCAGTGTAACCAATTTGGAAAGCTGTTGGGCAGTATCCACTAAAGCTAAACATAAGCCTACTCTATGGCCCAGAAATCCCACTCCTAGGTATATACCCAAGAGAAGTGAGAAGCCAGACACCTATGAGTTCATATGTGTTCAAGAACAGAAAAACCAATCAGTGGGGATAAGTCAGAATAGTGGTTACCTCTAAGGGAAGGGTATTGACTAGGAAAGGGCACACAGGGATCTTCAAGGGTATGAGAAATGTTCTGTATTTTAATCTGATTGTGATTCAGAAATGTGTACATGGATAAAAATTCGTCAAGCTACACTTGAGATTAGTATACTTTATACATTTTACTGTGTATATGTTTGTATTAGTTTCTTATCACGGCTAAAAAAAAATTAGCACACACTTAGTGGCGTAAAACAACATAAATTTATTCTCTTTCAGTTTTGGAGGGCACAAGTCCAAAACTTGTTTCACTGAGCTAAAGTAAAGATGTGAGCAGGGCCACATTCTCTCTGGAGGCTTTAGGGGAGAATCCATTTCCTTGCCTTTTCCAGCTTCTAGAGCTGAATTCTTTGGCTCATAGCCCCCGGGAGTTTAGCATCTTCCAGTTTCTCTCTGCTTCTGTCACATCGTCTTCTCCTCTGTTAAATCTCCGTCTCACAAACACTTGTGATTACATATAGGGGCCACCTGAATATTCCAGGATAATCTCCCCATCTCAAGATCCTTAATTTAATCACATCTGTGAAGTCGTTTTTGCCATGTATGGTGACATTAACAGGTTTTGGTGATTAGGATGTGGCTATCTTTGGAGGTCATTGTTCAGCCTACGACAATGTTATGATCGTCCCTCAGTATTCGAGGAGGATTGGTTCCAGGACCCCCCGTTAATACCAAAATTCGAGGATGCTCAAGTATCTTATATAAAATGGCGTAGTATTTGCATATAACCTGCCTACATCCTCCCATATACTTTAAATCATCTCTAGATTACTTATAATGTCTAATACAATGTAAACGCTGTGTAAATAGTTGTTATGCTGTATTGTTTAGGGAATAATGACAAGAAAAAGTCTGTATATGTTCAATACAGATGCAGCCATGGTAGGCCTAACTACATTGTACATGTCAGCAACAGCGTAACATTTTTTTTTTAATATTTTCAGTCTATGGTTGGTTGAATCCATGGAAACAGAAGGCCAACTATACCTCAGTAAAATAAATAATTCCCGCAAATGGTTCTGATGAGCATCCAAGGAAGAGGCTCATTTTAAGAAATATTTGATTTTAATTAAACTAGCATTTTTTTAATCCCTTCTTTGTAAAGGGTAATGAGTTTAGGTTGAGGGAAGAAGAATTGAGACTGGATAAAAGCTTCATAGCCATAAAATTCTTTATTGCTATTAGAACAATTTTTGAAGAGCGATTTAAAAATCTTAGTTTTTCAAGATCTTTTAAGAATAGAAAAGGCCTTACCTCATTTGGAAGAGATGAGGTATAAGTGGCTGTCATGGATTCAGTTGTGTCCCCCAAAAATATCTGTCAGCTTGGCTGGGTCATGATTCCCAGTATAGCACGATGATGAGATCACATGTGATCTCCTTATGTGTTGTAAATTCTATAACTGTGATGAGGTTATACTGATGAGGTTGACAAGATCAATGTCTTAATGCAATCTCTTTTGAGATATAAAAGAGAGAAGCAAGCAGAGACACATGGGAACCTCATACCACCAGGAAAGCAGTGCTGGGAGCAGAGCGCATCCTTTGGACCTGTGGTTCCTGCACAGAGAAGCTCCCAGAGGCCAAAGGAAGACTGATGACATGGACTTTCCTCCAGAGCTGATGGAGAAAGTGTTCCCCTGGAGCTGACACCCTGAATTTCGACTTGTAGCCTACTGGACTGTGAGAGAATAAATTTCTCTTTGTAAAGCCATCCACTTGTGGTATTTCTGTTGGAGCAGCACTAGATGACTGAGAGAATTTGGTACCGAGAGTGGGGTGCTGCTCTAACAGATACCTAAAATGTGGTTTTGAGACTGTGAATGAATAGAGGTGAGGCAGCAGCAGAGGACCAGCAGTGGCAGAGAACCTGCAGCAGCATAGAAGGGGCAGCAACAGAGAACCAGCAGCAGCAGAACGAGGAGACCAGTGTGAGACAGCGCTGGAGCCAACCCACGGAGCGAGAGAGCTGAGTGCCTGTGCGCTGGAGGCTTCCTGGCGGACTGGGGTGCCTTTGGGCACTTATCGGTAGAGTTAGGCTTGCTGATCCACAGAGCGAGGGAGCTGAGTGCCTGTATGCAGGAGGCTTCCTGGCGGAGTGGGGTGCCTCCAGGCACTTAATTGGTGGAGCTACTGAGCTTTGGAACATTTGCCCCAGCAGGGCAGATGCAAGCGCGAGGCCCGAGGGCCAAGAGGCCACAGAAAGCAGAAGCTGAAGAGGCAAGGAACACAAGAAGCCAAGCTGCCTCAGCCTCAAAAGGTATGGTCATGACCTCAAGGGTTTCAAAGGGTGGAGCCATGGCCCCTGGTGTTTCTAAGGGTGGAGTTGTCACTCCGATGGACTAGGAGAATGGTGCGCCTAAAGCTGAGGGAGCAGAGTTGGCTGTCCCAGTGGGCCTGGAAGGCGGAGCTGAAGCCCAGGGCCGAGGGGCCTCCACTCAGAATCTGGAGACTGTTGCCAATACCTAGAGTCTGGAGGGCAGGGCTATTGTGTAAATTGTCTCAGAGAACAGAGGATTCTTTTCAAGCCTTGAGTGCTAATGTAATGTGTTCTGCTAACTTGCTTGATGCCTGTTATTCCTTCTTTCCCTGCAATTTCTCCGATTTGTAATGTAAATGTCTAGCTTGTGCCTGTTCTGCCATTGTACCTTTGGAAGCAGGTAACTTGTATTCTAGATTTCACAGATGAAGAGGAATTTTTGGAATTTGGACTTGGAGTTAAGGCTTTTGCTGTGATATGATGACATGAGTATATTTTGTGTGTTGAAAGGACGTGAATTTTTGGGGGCCAAAGGGTGGAGTGTCATGGATTCAGTTGTGTCCCCCAAAAATATCTGTCAGCTTGGCTGGGTCATGATTCCCAGTATTGTATGATTGTGTTATCTGATGTGATTTCCTTATGTGTTGTAAATTCTATCACTGTGATGAGGTTATACTGATGAGGTTGACAAGATCAGTGTCCTTAATCCAATCTCTTTTGAGATATGAAAGAGAGAAGTGAGCAGAGACACATGGGAACCTCATACCACCAAGAAAGCAGTGCTGGGAGCAGAGCGCGTCCTTTGGACCTGAGGTTCCTGCGCAGAGAAGCTCCCAGAGGCCAAAGGAAGACAGATGACATGGACTTTCCTCCAGAGCTGATGGAGAAAGTGTTCCCCTGGAGCTGATGCCCTGAATTTGGACTTGTAGCCTACTGGACTGTGAGAGAATAAATTTCTCTTTGTAAAGCCATCCACTTGTGGTATTTCTGTTGGAGCAGCACTAGATGACTGAGACAGTGGCCCATGGAAAAGAGAATGGCTCTGGCATTCAAACTAGGTTTGAGTCCCAGCCCTGTGACTTAGTAACTTTGTCCCTTGGGACCTTAACCTGACAAGATTATTTTATTGGCTAGCAGTTACACCTGGTACATAGTAGGTGTTCAGTAATTGAGAAAGTCTCTGGGTTTTTAAGAATCTGATAATTACCCTGAACTTACCCTTTAATGTAAAACAGGAATAATAATGGTACCTACCTCATAGGCGTATTGTGAAAATAATATAAGACATGTAAAGCCTTTAGAAAAATTTCCAGTACAAAGTATTCAATTTGATAATATTATTTTTTGTACTATGCATATGTGGTAGAGTAAGTTGTCACTAGAAGAACATATCTTCAGTAGTTTCCTAATTTGTCCAGTACTTGCTTTTCTGTCCACTACCATGTATAACGCAAGGGTCTCTGTGTACTCAGCTTTCTGATTGATGGTCACCCCTAGGAGAATGGAGGACAGTTAGAAGACAAGTGTGAGCAATCTTTTGAACACCTTAATTTTGTTTTACTACAGGTTGCCACATTCATCCTCCAGAAGATCCTCTTAGATGACACTGGTTTGGCTTATATATGTCAGACGTATGAGCGTTTCTCCCATGTTGCCATGATCTTGGTGAGTTTGTTCATCTGCCCCTTTTGCAACTACTTCTGATCACACATCTTAGTCCCTTTTCCATGGGCACTGAGCAGCTTCAGGCTTACAACTAGAAATAGCAGCCCTGGAACCTTGTATGGTGATTCCTGGAATATCTGATCACAACTTCAATTGGGATTATTTTGTGTATTGTGTGTTTTTTCCCTACTCCACCCCCTATTCTGGGGGAAACAGGGTAAGATGGTCCTGCAGCTATCCAAAGAGCCTTCCGCCCGTCTGCTGAAGCATGTAGTGAGATGTTACCTTCGACTCTCAGATAATCCCAGGTAAACATTTACAGGGTTTATAGGACTTCGGGGAAATGCTCTGCTGAATGGTTTCCCCGTCTCCTGGTATAGCTAAGATATCTTCAGGACAGGAAAGGGATATAACTATATTTATTTTGTCTGGGATAAAACTAAATTCATTTTAAAATCTGAGTGTTGAATTTAAAAATCCATCAGAATTTTATCTCCCCACTGTAATTCTCTACAATACTCTTGAAATTCCATAGAGTCAAGGCAATTCCCAGGGAAGCCTTATGATGCATTACACCTGTGGTTTGAGTGGTCTGTTGCTACTGCAGGTGGTCAAAAAGAGAAGACTATTTTCAAAGACCTCTTAGAAAGAGCAGAGGGTTCTTGAATTGTATCTCCAGTTCACACCTTGATTCCTGTAAGGTCCTTGAGCCAGTCATTTTATCTCCTTATGTTCATAGTCTTTCTGCTGAAAATCATACATCATAGATATAATGCATTTTGGAAATATTTGACCTTTTTGTTTTGTAAGTCTGTAATTCATGCTGAAGGCCACTGGCTCAGATTAGGCAAAACCACATAATGGGATGATTTCTGTGCTTCTAGGACTGGGGGGATAACTAGATTTAATGTGAACTCAGCCTCCTGCCACTGAAGTTATTCAAGCCCTAGCTATTTCTTCAATCAGTTTTGTCCTATTCTTCACTGGTTCCTGTTTTCACCAAAGTTTGAAAATGTGCTTATTTAAAATTCTTTATGTACAAAGAAAAGTAGACAGAATACAAAAGCCATAACTTTGTTTAAAACAACCCTATAAATAGTTAACATTTACCTTTTTTGAAGTTTTTGGATTTAATTTTCTGCTGGTCTTTTTAAAGAAAATAAAATATTTAAAAGGTTACCTGATAATACTGCTATCATAACTTTGTTCTATTGCTCATCTCTTATTATGGATTTTTAACTAAAAAACTGAAGCAGTTTCTACAAAGACACAAATTTATAAGTTAGTATAGAATTTAAATTCATTAATTTATCATACTGTAAATCAGGTCATATCCCCTATTAATGTACTGATTTTTGAAATGTTTCATTACTGTAACCTAGAGCATATTCATATATTTCTAGCTAGTATTTATTGTAACAAATCAGAAAGCAGTTTCAGTTGAAGTAAATCTGCACCTTTTAATTCCATTTTGTTTTGTCATGAAATTGTACTTTGGGGCATCATTTTGAAAATTTTTGCAGACTACAGATCCTGGAGATTTCTGAACTTAAGACTAACAGAAGCTTTAAAGTGTTTTAATGGCTTTGTAAAGTAACTTGACGGAGTCATAGACTTCTAGAATTCTGTATATTTATGTCTAAGAAAGGGGCTCTTCCCTGTCCCCAAAATGTGGGTTTATTTGTTGGTCTCCCTGGTTGGTTTGTTTGTTTCTGATGTAGGGCACGTGAAGCGCTCAGGCAGTGCCTCCCTGACCAGCTGAAGGACACGACCTTTGCCCAGGTGCTAAAAGATGACACCACCACAAAACGCTGGCTTGCACAACTGGTGAAGAACCTGCAAGAGGGCCAGGTCACCGACCCCCGGGGTATCCCCCTGCCCCCTCAGTGATCCTCCCCTGTCCTCTCCCACTGCTCCCCTACATTGGGGAAGGGAGGGGGAACCTGCGAGGAAAACAGCTCAGGTTTTATTGTCGACTGGGAATAGACAACCTCAATGCTGAACTGCATGGGAGAAAAGGGGCAAGGGACCCCTGCTGAGGTATGTGGGCTGCCATCTTGGGCTGCCTTAAGGACCTGGGATCCTTCTGCTACTCCCAGGAAATGGGCTCCTGACAGAGCAGTCAGCCACCATAGCCCCAGGAGGGTGTCAACACCAGCAAATGCTGTATTTTCAGCATGCCCAAGATGACCCTCTCCCCCACCTCTACTTAGCCACTGGGAGGGAGGGGAGACCATGGTGAGAGCAGTAGCACTCTAGGCATGGTGAACTCCTGGGACCAAGCCATGTGGCGTTTTCTATTTTGCCTTCTGGAAGACTCAAGATGTGTCTCTTCATTCTCTCTCTCAGTGTTTGTTTACTTGTTTTTTTTGTTTTTAATCTCAGAGAGAGGTGTGTTTAGTGGACACAAGCTGTAATATTCAGCAAAACTTTGTCAATTGGCACTGTTTACAAGTTTGTTAGCTGCATAAGCTCAATAAAAAGTTGGTCTGGGCATTACATCCCCTCTGGCAGGCCAATAGCTGCACTGAGCTGTTGGGAGTAGTGGGAAGCAAGGGAAAGGTATAAAGCCAAAGGACAGCAGAAACCCACCATGTATTTCACTTCCCTTTCCCATTCTCCTACCCCTTGGATGTCACAAGGACCTTAACCTTGTTTCTGGCTTTAGCCACTCACTTTCCCCAAATCTCAGCGCTTTCCCTTTTTCACTCTCCTAATAAACTTTAAAATAGACATCTTAATTCATCAGGCTGTCCTGGAAGGGTATTCTGTTGGGTCGGGGAGACCCCATCTTCAATCCAAGTCCTCAAGAATTTTCTGGATGACTTTTAAAAAGGGGATGTTGGGAATTAAGGTGACTGGCTACTTGATCCTATTCTTTGCTTTAGTGTGAATTTCAGCAGATCCAGCTGCCTTCTTGATTGTATTTGAAGCAGTATTGGCTGAATGAGTCCATTTTATGCAGATTTAAGATGGAGGGTTGAGCTCTGCTTGCTCACTCAGTCTTTTCTTTTGATACATTCTCTTTTGGTCTATGGGAATTACAGGGTTACTACTAAAATGTTTTCTATTTGTTCATACTGTATCAGAGAATTCAGTTCCCTTCCGCCCTCTGGAGCTTTAGATGACTCTGCTTCCAATTCACAGGCTTGAATCTGTAACCTGGTGTAAACTGCCTTGCTTTCCCCCAATCTTTCCCCTTGCCAGCACCTGCTTTCTCTAGTCCCCATCTCCAATCAAAGATGGGATTGCTAATCCAACTCTAGAGAGGGACCAAGTCTTTTCTGTTCATATCTCACACAATTGAAGGTGTCTCTAAAGTTTGGGAAGGGTCTCTAAGGGGCAGACTCAGAGAAACTTGTGCAGAGGCAGTTTTACCAACACAAGGGCTCTTTCAAGCCAACTTTCACAAAGGGAGCCGGCCTTGTTTGTTAGATTCTGTGTTGTTAGAGCCAAGAAAGTAGTCATTAAGTAGCCTAGATGTAGGAAGGGTAGTATAAGCACTTATTCCCCTGCCTTCTAAACCGAAGAGAAGAATCAGGCCAGCTCTCACTAATCTCATGCCTGAAGAGGAGAGGTTTTGGAGAAAGCAGAGAACAGCATGGACTAGATAGATGTTTTGACTCCCATCAGCCCATAGTCTGTGATCTGGAGAGTCCACTAGGGTAACCCTGATTTTTGCCAACCGCCTTCCTGTTGAACCAAAGTTTTCTCATTTTCCCTCCACTGGGGAAGCAGCTGAGGCCCAGAGCCTCGCTCCCTGGAAAATTGTCTTCATCTTTTGGTGCATTGGCCATGTTATTTTGCCAATAGTGTCTTAATTCTTGTCCCATCTTTTCTCCCTCAGCTGGCCTTGACCCCACATATGAGTTTGGGGTGGGGAGGACAATGGAAATGGGTATTATTTCTTGTAGTTGATCTTGATGTTGTGTGTGTATGTGTATGTATAAAGAGACCCCTCCCCTCATTTTGTGTTTTCCACCCCTCTCACTCCCTCAACAGGATTGAAATAAAACTTGCTTCTGTTTTTGTAAAAATAAGTGTTTTTCTTTAAACTGGAGATTTTATTCTATCAATATAAAGCTGTCTAGGCACTTTAGTCAGGTAATCCTTGCCCACCCCTGCCTCTGTCCTCTGTACACAAACACACACACACAAACACACTGCCCCTGCCAAGAGGGCATTGATGGTTCCTCTGTGGACAGGTCCCTTGGGAGGAGTCCAACTGATGTGTGAAGTCTGTTTGGGAGACTGGGATAGTGCCCCTTACCTGATAAAGTATCTCTCACTGGACAAAACCTCACTCCTGCCTATAGTAGCCAGAACTTGGTACCAGTGTGGGAGAGACTTCTATAAGTAGAAAGATAATGCTTGAGACATTTTATCATAGACTTTAATTTTCACCTCTTTCTAGGGCGTAGCACTCAGAGCACATCTCCAGAGCTGTTTCCATTCTTGCTCCTGGGAAGGCTGCCTGGCTTTTAGTGAGATGCAGCTAACCCCTGCTTCTAGCTTATATTTTTCAGGGCTCTAGAGGGCCTATGATTGTTTCAGTGGTGGAAGACGACAAGGGGAGGCATCAGCCTTCAGCGCATACCTGCCTTATCTATACATATGTCTCTCCTGCTCACTATCCTGCTGGGAAAGGGGGATATACAAAGTTGTTGCTACCAAAAACCCAAGGAAAACATTTGGAATAGGAAACCAAAAATAAAACGAGACTTTACTTTCCTGATACATTGTCAAATTTAATTTAAAAATATATATTTTTTAACACATTTATTTCAATAGCAGATATAACAAGCTGACAATTTGAATAACAAACAGCCTAATTGAATACATAGAACACTGCACTCTTAAATCAACAGTATGCATACTTTTTTTTAATTGTACATGAAGCATTTACGAGAATTGATCATAGCTGGCCATCAAGCAAGCCTTGAGAAATTTCAAGAACATTACAATAATAGAATGTCTGCCCATAGTGGAATTAAGCCAGGAAAAAGAAAATCGTAAAGTTCCTAATTGTTTGAAACTTAAGCTATACAGTCTAAATAACCCATGAGGCAAAGAGGGAATCACAAAGGAAATTAGAAAATATTTTGAATTGGATGATAATGAAGATATGCCATATCAAAACCTGGGGTATACATCTAAAGCAATGCTTAAAAAGGTCTATAACCTTAAATTTACGCATTACAAAAGAAGAAGGGCTGTTAGTGCTCTTAAGTTTTCATGTCAAGAAACTGGAAAAGAATAGCAAATTTAAAAAGTGGAAGAATACCAAAAGAAAAAAATCTAAAAATGGAAAACAAATTACAATAAAGACAAAAGGCATCTCCTTGAAAACATAAAATTGATAAACCCTAGTAAGACCGATAAATCAACAACCTTATGAACAGAAAAAGGGACATCATTCATATCTTACAATTAACAATCTCACAAACTTCCAGAGGATAGAAAAAAGAAAACTCTCAACTCACTTTTGGAGCAGCATAACCCTGCCACCGAAACCTGTCAGGGGTATCACAAGAAAGAAAAACCAGGGCCGTCTTCTCCCGTGAATATAGACATAAAATCCCCAAACAAAACAAGCAAATCAAATCTAGCAATATATAAAAATGATACTGCATCAGATGTAACCTGGGTTTTTTGCAAAAATACAAGTTTGATACTTGACAACCAGTCAATCCAATTAACATAAAAGGAGAAAAATCACAATCACTAGATAGATGTAAAACACTACAAAATTCAACACCTGTTCATTTAAAACAAAAAACTCTTATTAGAGAACCAAGAATAGAAGGACATGTCTCTAATAAAAAGAATCAGCAAGAAACCTACTGTAAGCTTTTCAATGATGAAATATTGAAATCTCCATGAGATAAGGATGTCCACTATCACTTCCATTTACCATCATACTGGTCCCAGCCAGTGTGATAAACCAAGAAAATAAAAGGCAAAGGATTATAAAGGGATAAATAAAATTCTTTGCTTACAACATGATTGTGCACATCATAGATAATCCAAAAGAGTCTACAACCCTTAGAATTACTAAGTGAATTTAGAGAGATCACAGAATACAGTCAATATACAAAAAATCAATTGTGTTTCTTGTATATACCTACGATAAAACAAAATGAAATTTTAAAAATAGATTGTTTATAATATCATGAGAAATCAAGTGCCTAGAAACGGGTACTCATACATCAAAAGATGTACAGAACCTTTTCACTGAAAACTATGAAACATTCTTGAGAGGAATTAACTATATAAATGGAAGGATATATCATCTCCGTGGATTGGAAAACAATATTGTAAGGATGCCAATTCTCTCAAATTAATCTGCAAATTAGACCCAATTCTAAGTGAAATCCCAGCAGATTTATTTTTGTGAAAATTGACAACCTGATTCTAAAAATTGTATGGAAATGTAAAGTGCCAAAACAGCCAAGGCAATCTTGAATAAGAGCAAAAACGCAGTTCTTCCTTTCCCAGATATCTTCCTTTAACTCTCAATCTTTTAGTAACATCTTTTTGTAGACACGACTCTTCTAAATATCATATAGTTATGTTTTGTTTTATGACTCTTTCTGCAAGTTTTGTGTCAATATGAAATATTAACATAATTTGTATTTTTTATTCTAACATCATTTTGTTCTCTGGGTTTATTTTATACTTCTTGGTTGCCCCTCCTTGGTTTTTTGTTTTGTTTTTATTTTCTGGGATGGGGACTGTATATTGTCTGGTGTTTTGAAGTTATGTATCCTGGCTTTTATAGGTGGTTAGATTGATGATTTTTAAATGGAATTTAATATTTTGAGTTGCTTTTTTGACTATCAAGACAATGGGCTTTATTTCAGAAATTGAGCCATTTGGCTGCATAGGCTGGGGGAGCTGGCCTCTGACTTCCCAGCCTGACTGTCCTGAGAAGCAGAAATGTTGAGGTGCAGTGACATCTACCTTGGGTGTCAGGACAAGTCTGCGCTTGCTTGAGTGGCAGGATGAGAGTACAGTGTTCAGGGCTCCCTCTTTGCCAGCTACCCCTTCATTTCAATTTAGGGCTTCTAGGCCTTTCCTGGGCATGGTTCCCAGAAAGTCCCTTTGCTACTGCTGCTCTGATCAGGTTTCTGGATCTGTTAATAATAGAAAACAGTGGGGGAAGGGCCGGAATTGTGGAAATAGGAACAACCAAAGCAGATGGACAGTTCCTGTGCCTGGGACCCCATCTGTCTGCTCCCTCCCTGGATCTAATGAGTGCCCTACGGCAGCGTGCTGCTAAGCCACCCTTTGGAGTCATACTAATCTTGTGAAGACCTCCAAGTGCCCATCCAAACATCAAAACACACGGCCTGGGGGTCCTGGTGTATTTATGGGAACACTGAAACAGTATTTGAAACCTGGGCTCTCCCAGAAAATCCAGGATGTGTGATAATACCACTCACAGGATACCCAGAAGAGAAGGAGTTTGGGAAACATAGAGCTGAAGCAAACGACTCAGAAAGAGGCAACCTCAGAAAGAGGCAACCGTATATAGCCCTGGATATGGAAGAGCAGTAGGGAATGTGAAGGTGAAGCATGGAAAAATAAGGAGGTGGTGATGTTGGAGGAGTAGAAATGGGAGGACAATTAGGGCCTCCATCTTCTGCCTCCACTCTTCCTCTGTCAAAACTTGGTCTCAGTAAAGAGTATGGTATACTCAACCTGGGTATAAATTGTGAGAGATCAATAAGGCTTCAGAAATTACCAGTTGCAAAAAGTTTAAACCCTTTTGTAAAATGTAACACAGATCTAGAAAACTACATAAAGAAAATGTATAGCTTAATAAATTATTATAAAGCAAAGATCCTTGTTAGCGTCTAGGATTAGAAATAGAGCTTGGCCAGCTACGTGCCTCATCCCATTACAACCCCTCCCTTCTCCCAAAAGTAACCACTATTCTGACTTTTATGATATTCACTCAGGAGGATTGTATTTTAATGGGACTAAAGGTTTAGCTATAAATAATCACTAATGGTAGAATATTAGGCAGTTGAAGGGTATTTGGAGCCATGAGAGGCAGCTAGATCTCAGGACACTTAAAATTATAGCATTTCGTACAGTTAGTTCCCTCTGTGCCTATGATTAAGATACATACACTTCACTGGAAAAGGATCCCACAGAAGTCGAAGTAGAGACAGGACTGTGCCCTACGCCCTCAGCTGCCTTATTGTCATCCACTGGTCCAGAAAGAACCATGCCCCACAATCTTCCCAAGGCAGAGCAAAAGTAGGTCCCAGCTCACAGTGCTTGGGAGTATGAAAGGGGGTAGTTGTCTCTGCTGCTGACAGCTGACACATATGAGTCCAGGACAGCACCTCAATTTCCTTGGGCCTCAGTTTCTCACTGAGTTATGGGGTCATAATAAAGCCCTTTAAAATTCCCTTTCCTCAATTTTGCTTCCTGTTTCAGCTGCCTGTTCATTCACCCTTGTAAGGAGCTCATTACTTTCCTTTGCAGATTGGACATTTTTCTAGCTCCTCTCTTTGCTCTCAATTCTTCCACTCCACGAGTTTGCTTCATCTCTCTGCACATTTATAAACATGCATGTAGGTCCTGGCACACTGGAGGTGCTAACAAATGTATACATAGATAACTAACCAGCCCTCTATACTCTAATAAATCATTCCTCTTCTCCCGTTCTCCTAATCTTCCTCCTTTTCCATCCTATTCCTTGCTTCCTTTCCTGGTGCCACAGAGCTAGATTGAGTGCCCTGCAAAGCAGGAGGCAGAGACACAGGAGCACAGGCCCGTGGAAACAGATGCCATGGAAGGAAGGCAGATGAAATAAGGACAAAGACAGTCATATCACATGCAGAGAGAGACCGACCAGAATGAGAAGTGGTGATTCACGGAGCACAGCAACTCAGATATTCCTTGGGTTTCACTTTGAGAGCTACTGCGAGATTGGGGTCAGTGAGGGCTGGCAGCAAGATGAAGGGCAGCCGGCTCCTCCTCCCTGAGACGTGGTAGTCACCAATCGCTCGCCTTAATCCTCTTCTGCCCACCCCACCCCCACCACTCCCTCACACTGACCATTGTGCTGGGCCTTTAAGAGGTGGATGGGCTAGACTGAGGAGAGAGCTCACCCTTCTCCCCACCTAACTCCTTCCCTCTGGCTGTACCTCTGCCAGCCAGGGCAGTAAACTGCAGTAGAAGAGGGGAGGAAGCGAGCAGTGCAAGAGGAGCAAAGGAGCAAAGGCTGGGCTTCCTCAGCCCATAGTGGGGAACATCGCAGAGCTCTGGAGGCAGAGCTCAGACATACAGGACTGCTATCCTGCCCAAGGTAAGGTCCTGGGGACTCTGACCATCCTCTGCTCCAAGCTCTGCCCTGCCTGAGCCCCCAACTTTGCCCTGCAGGTGCTTATCCACCCTGGTTGCATTGTACGCTGCTCTCCTTTCCCCAAACAGCTCTACATGGCTTAGAACTCCTAGTTCTCTCTAGCTTACCCTCTTTGACTCTTTTTGAAGTTTTCCTCCTGGCTGTGCCAGTCACTCCTTATATGCCTCCATTCCCTCGGGGGCTTCTTAGCTACCCAGGGCCAAGAGTCGTGTCCCTAGCCACTCCTCAGAGTAAGCCCCACCCCATAAGGTAAGAGAGAACTGGAGTAACTGATCTTTAACATAGGTTTGTTAGCAGATTGTTGAGGGTTTGTCCCATGGGGGAGCACAGAAACCCCTGGAAGTGGGGAGAACTGTTGAGACTTTCTTGGAAAAAGTCAGGGTTTGAGTTCTGGACCTCATGTTTTAGCTTACTCAATGGGCCAGAGCACTTTCGCTGGGAAGGGCACTTGCTTTTAGTCTTGACTCTGCCATTAACTAACTTTGTGACTTCAGACCACAACTTTATGATCTGTAATAGGAGAGAGTTTATGATTTTCCAAACTTGCCTCTGTACCAGGGGTGTATTTTAAAAATACATACTCTTGGTCCCATCCTTGGAAATTGTGAGTAGATTTTGGGTGGGACTCAAGAATCTCTGTTTTTTAAGACACTCTACAGAGGTTGTTGATAAGCCAGGAACCTCCTCTGGGTTAAAACAAACAAACAAAAAACCAAACACATTGCCATCGAGTTGATTCCAACTCATAGGGCCCCTATAGAACAGAGTAGAACTGCCCTATAGGGTTTCCAAGGAGCAGCTGGTGGATTCAAACTGCTGACTTTTGGTTAGCAGCTGAGCTCTTAACCACTGTGCCAGCAGGGCTCGTTAGAAGTGTTATAAAAGAGCCCTCACGCACTAACATTCTGAGGGCTATACCTGTGGCCAGAGCCATTCTGTCCTCTATACAAACCAGGTCAGGTATAATTCTGCTCAGACGCAAGGGAATAGACAAAATGATTCTCGTCCTTCCTGCCCCCCAGAGAGACCTGAGACACTCTGAATCTCACTGTAATGCCCATTGGTGACATTGGCGACATGCCAAAATCCATCTCTAGGGTGACATGAAGTCCCCTGGAAGTTGAGGACCAAATCTTGCTCTAAGCCCTGGATCACTTTCCATCTTATTTTGTGTCTCTGTTTTCCCATCTGTGTTATAAATGCTTTCCTGCTTTGAATCCCTGAGGATTTCCATATATGTGTCTAGGAGTTAACGTTTAAGACCCAATTTTTCTTACTCTCAGTCTTCATCCTCTGTTCCTTGTCAGTGCCCCCACTCCCAAATGCTTCCTCCTTTGTCTCCTCACTGCACCTGTATCAGCTGTGACCATCCTTCAGACACCAGAGGAAACACCAAGACATAGTACACCTGGGTCCCAACTCGCATTCTCTGGGCAGTTTGTTTAGTCAATTTCCTAGGACACAGGGATGAGAATGAGCAGAGGGATGCGCTACTGAGTGTCCAAGCCCAAATATCTCAAAGGGGCTGAGAATCAGAGCTATTGGGAATCAATGAAGAAAAAGGAGGGAAGTGACAGGAAGAGGTGATGGGGAGAACAGATGAGGAGGAGAGCAAACAGAAACTGACCTAAGTGAGCAAATAGGTAGAGAGGTTTGGGAGAAAGAAGAGTGAGCTAGGGAGAAAGGAAAGGTAAGGGTTCAGGCACAGGATGGAGAAAGGACATAAAATGGGAAGAAAAGAGAGGCTATATGAAGTGGGATAGAGAGGGAACAGAAAATGATTGAGAGGAGAGACAAAACTGCAGTGTCCCTCATTAACCCTGCTTCAACCTACTCCCTGGAGAAGTTTCTTTCTAAGGGCAGGAGTCTTGGTGAGATCTCTGAGCTGGTCTTATGGAGACGTTAGTTCTAGTCCCAGTTCTGCCACTTAACTCATTAGGTGACTCAGGCAGTTCAGCTAATCTTTCTAGTCCTCAGTTTGCTTCTCTATAAAAAGAAGTCCAGCTTTGACATTCTGTGGCTCCTTGAGTTGAAACTAGCCCTCCTATGGCCACATCTCACCTGGTTACAGGTTTGAAGTAGTAATTTAGCAGTGGTAGCAGAGTTAGAAGATCAAGGCCAAGCCCTGGAGTTGGAAGAGTTTGACAAAGAAGGAACAAAATCAATTTCTATGGCTGATTTGAGAGAAAGCAGGCTCCAAAACAGAAGTATCTAGGCACTTGGGCTCTATTCTCAAGCTACCCATATTTCAGGACATCATTGTGGTTTCCTAGAGTAAAGGAAGGGAATTCTCTCTTCTCCCAGGCCCAAGGCATACCCCATCCAAGAGCCCCTATGCCCCAGAGATGGGAACTGAGGTCCAGACAGGAGATGAGGCAGGATGTTGGCAAGCGGGATTAGACTTCAGCCCTGGCCAACCCTGCTTAGAGTCTGAGGACCTAAGACATTGGAGAGACCTATTATTTTTTATTTCAGTCTTCATATCATAGCCTTTGTAAGCCTGAGATTCCAAACTGTGTTATTTCCACCCAGAAAAGCAGAGATGCTTTCTGTCTCGCAGGAAGCACTCTGAATCCCTTCTTCCATGCAAAGATTTTTTTTCGTATCTCGCCCAGGCACTCACTTTCAGCCTCAGCCAGCAGACTCTCTTCCAGGGAGTGTCACAATTCCAGTTCATGAGAGCTGATTTGAGCTGTCTTTCCCACTTAGGCCCAAGCTACTTTCCAATCTTCTCCTCTCATTCTGGACACCTGTACTGTGCTACCTTTTTAGAAAGCCTTCCCTGCAGTCAGGAAAGTCATACTTTCACAGTGCCCCTCACGTTCCTTCTAAGACTAATCACCCGTGGGTGACTTCATAGACTCTTCCCATTGAAGAGAGATAGGGTACTAACATGCTGTGTGACCTCAAGCAAGTTACATCACCTTTCTGCAAGTCTGCTTTTTCATTTCTAAGATAAAAGGAATTGAACTGAATGATGTTTTAATGGAACAATAAATGATCACTGTAGAGTGATCACTTTAGAGATTCTTTAAAGATACAGGTTTTTTAGATATTTACCATGGTTGAAATTTTAATTTCTCAATTAAAAAACATAACACATTTCTATTCAAGTGTTAGGTCCTTTGCTTATACAAAATCGTAGTTTTATGTTTCATGAGCTTTGTCAGTTTCATGATGTGGTCAAGAATTGGGTATTTCTATATGGGCAGAGCTAGAATCAACGTGGCCGCATATCAAATCTTCTAGTTCTTTTCAAGGGAAGCTTTTTGTTAGCTTCTAGGTGACTTAGTTGTTAGTTGATATCAAGTTGATTCTGACTCATGGCGACCCCATGTGACCTCATGTGTACAGAATAGCACTGCTCCACAGGGTTTTAAAGGTTGTGACCTTTTGGAAGCAGATTGCCAGTCCTGTCTTCTGAGGTGCCTCTGGGTGGGTTCAAACCACCAAGCTTTCGACTAGTAGTCGAGAACTTAATCATTTGCCCCACCCAGGGACTCCTTCTAGGTGCCTTAACCAGGTCCTAAATTGGACAGCGTATGTTGTAAAGGAGGTACCCTTTTTTAGTAGGTAGAGAAAACTTGAAAATACAGTTCTGAGACTTGTGTAACTTACTTGGTCCATTAAAACTGTGAGAATAACTGCTATGAAAAAGAATATCAAATATGCTTTACAATGTGATAATAGAAGACAGCTCACTTAGCTAAGTACAGCACTAAGTGTTGTAGAAGAGACGAAAGAGACACTCTGCTCTAGCCCTTCAAGAGATGGACAATCTATGAGGGAGCATGGAGAGGGCTCCCAGAGGAAGGAAGCTGGAATGATTCCACCTGGAGAAAAGAAGGCGAGGATGCGAAACACGTCCAGGTTCTGGAAGGCGGCAGCCAACAAGACAGTGGTTCCTAATAATGAGGAGATGAGAAGTGACCAAAGTGTGGTGTGAGGTTGCCCAGTAGATAGTGGGGTATTGGGTAGGAAGGAGGTGTTTGGCAGAAAGCCCTGGTTAGACTTCTGTGGAGATGGCCATGGGAAACAGCAGGGGCTCTGAGATCAGACATACCTGGGTTTACATTCTGAGTCCCCTATGTGATTTGAGGCAGGTTTCTTAGCCTCTTGAAGCCTCAGTGTCGCCAAACTCGAATTAGAGGCAAAAATAGCTATAGACTATGTAGCTGCAATGGTTAAGTTCTTGGCTGCTAACCAAAAAGGTCATCAGTTTGAATCCACCAGCCCCTCCTTGGAAACCTCTGGTGCAGTTCTACTCTGTCCTATAGGGTTGCTATGAGTCAGAGTTGACTTGATGACAATGAGTTTTTTTTGTTTGTTTGTTTTTTGGTATGTAGGTGAAGTGCCTGACACATAGTGGGCACTCAGGAAACACTGGTTTCCTTCTCTTCCTCCTTTGATCTGTTATTCTAAGACCACCAAGATTCACCGGAAGTCCATCACTCCTTCTTGCTGCTTTAGGTGACTCTGGTGCCAGCTGGTGGAGCAGTGAGTGATGGCATCCCTGCTGCAAGGAGTCCGTGAGTACACCTGGAGGGGAAGAAGGCTTGGGGAGATAGTCCAAGAAAGGGTAGGAGGTTGAACTCTGTTCCAGAGTTCCTCCTGGGCCCTTCCCTCCCCAATGGCTACCCAGCCCCTACTTCTCCTGGCTCAGGGCTGCCAGACAACCAGGACCTGCTGCTGATGCAGGAAGGCATGCAGATGCGCAAGGTGAGGTCCAAAAACTGGAAGAAGCTAAGATACTTCAGACTTCAGGATGACGGCATGACAGTCTGGCATTCTCGGCAGATCGGGTGGCGTGCCAAGCCCAGCTGTGAGTGATGTGGATAGCCAGTTGTGGGCAGTTAGTAGACTAGGACCCTGAGGAGCCCAGCAGCCTGAGGGCAGGGGGAGAGACCAGGATCTTACAAGAGTGTGCTATCCTGCTGTCCCTACTTGTGTCTTACGTCTAAACCTGTAAAATGGAGATTATCACACTTGCGCCTTAAGGCGGTTATGAGGATTAAATTAGTTATTGCATGTAAAGTGTTTAAAGAGCCCTGGCACATAGTAAAGCTCAATAAATCATGGGTTGTATCTTGTTATCATTATTATAAGAGCATAATTTCAGGCATCCATCAGCCTGGATTAAAACCTTTGCTTGGCCACTTTCTAGCTAAGTAAGCTTGGGCAAGTTACTCAACATCTCCAAGCTTCAGTTTCCTCATCTGTAAAATGGGGATTAAACAGTATCTACCTCGTAGGTTATAGGGACTCAGTGAGTTAATGTGTAAAGCACCTAGCACGGGACCTGAGACCAGGAGGCTTTTAATAAATGTTAGCCGCTATGATGAATTGTTTTAGTATCATAAATGCATCATAATAGTGTGCATCCTATCGGCCGAGCTCTTTATGATACCTCTAGAAATTTGATCACAGGACACATCTAACACAGTCTGCTTTAGAGACAGAATTAAGGCTCATGATCCACACCAGCCCCAGCTGAGGTAAGGGGGTAAAAGAATTTGTCTGGCTCCCTCCTAGACATTCTGGAAAGAGGAAGCCCTCAAACCTGGAATGGGAGAACTGGGCTTGGCATACAATGCTTTGGTGTAACTGCTTCTACCTCTCAAGTGTGTTTCCATCTGTCAGCCCTTCCGATCCCCCTGCGATCCTCATAAAGACTGGCTGTAGAAGGGGACATCCTTATTTAAGATGCGGACACTGAGAGGTTAAGTCATTTGGTCTGTGTCACACTGCCAGCTGGTGGCTGGAAGCCTAGTTTTGTCACTCCCAGCACAGGCCCCTTGCCATGCTGCCTATGAAAACAGCAATGACTCATGTGCACTCCTGAGTCCTAGGATGCGTCTCCCTGTACTTATGCTTTTTAGGTCATCTTTGCATGGGGGACATGCTAATCTTCTCTGTATCATTCCAATTTTAGCGTATGTGCTGCTGAAACAAGCACTGTATTAATGCATTTTAGGATTCACCTTTTGGAGGCTAGAGTTCCTCCTTCCTCTGGCTTCACAGAGAAGAAGAAGGGTCCTTGTCCCTTGGCCCCTGCTATTTGGTGGACTCCATTCCTCCGTTCCCCCACCCGCTTCTTCTCCGGCAGTCTCAATCTCTGACGTGGAGACAGTGCGTGAGGGCCATGAGTCTGAGTTGCTGCGCGGCCTGGCAGAAGAGTTCCCGCTGGAGCAGGGCTTCACTGTTGTCTTCCATGGCCGCCGCTCCAACCTGGACCTGGTGGCCAACAGTGCCAAGGAGGCCCAAATCTGGATACGGGGGCTCCAGCTGCTGGTGGATGTTGTCACCAGCATGGACCAACAGGAGCAGCTGGACCAGTATCAGCAGGATAAAGTCAGGGCGGGGGTAGGGGTCACTAAAGGAGCCAGTTGCTACAGGGCTAGGGACAGGTGGGAGGGCTATGGAGGTCCAAACGCCCAGATGGGGTGGACAGGGGGAGCTCAGGCCCATGTGAGGCTGAGGATCCTGAGGGAGGGATGGGTACCAGGTGTGGCAAAGGCATAGCCAAGAGTCTAGGCATGAATCAGGACCCCCAGGATTAGGAGAAGCAACAGCGGGAGGCAAAAGACCAGACAAGGTGCTGATCCCAGGAGTTAAACAGAAGGTCCAGGTGGCATTGAGTAACTACCATAGGGGTGGGAAGCAACCATTAGAGAGCATGGGGTGTAGACTCACTTCAAGTTTCCTGAACTATACTCAACTTCTACCCCATTCATTCATTCATTCACCATCTATTCAGCAAAATGTGTCAGGCAGTATGCTAAGATTTAGGGGTACAAAGATTAAAGAAATTAATGATTTAACCAGATATTGCTTCAGTCAGTGAAGGGGGTGGAATTGTGGAAAATAGTCTAAGTATCAAAGAAGTCTTATGATACTTAGATTATTTGTGGGTGTTCAATGGAAGGAGAAACAATTCTTAAAGTGTTCTGAAAGTTTCAGGGAGAACGGGGCATTTGAGCTGGGCCTTGAAAACGAGTAGAATTTGAGCATGAAGAGAGGAGGAGGGAAAGGTACTCCAGCCTGAGGCAACAGCATGAGTAAAGGGCCAGAGACAGGAAATTGAAGAGCAGGAGGGAAAGTGAGGCATCAGAGAGGAGGCAGTGGCTGAGTGTGGCTGAAGTACAGGAAGGAGCCAGAGATGTGTTGAGAAGGCTAGGATGAGGCCAGATCATGGTGGGGTGGGGTGGGGGGGTGCACAAAAGGGATCTTGACTTCCGTGTTAAGGAATTTTGACTTCTTTCTGCCGGCAACGTAGAGGTCCCTGCAGGCTCCTAAGCCATGCAGTGACAAGATAGATTGGTGCTCTGGGGAGATTATCCAGAAGCTATGTGGAGAGTGAATTGGCATGGAAGAGAGACAGAGATGGGGGAGAGATGTTGATGCAAAAACACACGCATCTGTACACACACACACATGTGCACATAGTGCTTTTTCCTTGACTCAGACCTGGATGGCTGAGTGACTGGTTCCAGCGTGGAGACAAAAACCAGGATGGACGGATGACTTTCCGAGAAGTTCAGCGGTTACTGCGCCTGATGAATGTGGAAATGGACCAAGAATATGCCGTCCAGCTTTTCCAAGTGAGTGTGCTGGGGAAGGATTTGCAGGAGTCAGCCAGGCCACATTCCCACTTGGCCAGAAGTATTCTGACTCTAAACAGCAATGTTCATTTGTTGAATCCCTACTATGCACCCTAGCACCATACCACACTCAATGGGGAATTGAGGGAAGTGCCCTTCAGTCTTGTTGGAAAGATGAGTCCCTGGGTGGTGCAAACGGTTAGGCGTTCAACTGCTAGCTGATAGTTTGGTGGTTCAAACCCACCCAAAGGCACCTCGGAAGACAGGCCTAGCAATCTGCTTCCAAAAGTTCACATCGTTGAAAACCTTATGAAGCAGTTCTACTCTGCACATACAGAGTCACTCAACAGCAACTAACAACAACAACAATCCTATGAAAGGTAAATAATAATATGTTACTATGTCAGACTCAAGGGCTTCTCTGTCCATGGCCAAAATGTCACAGGTGCCTATAAATGGAAAACTCCAACTGGAATGTGAGTAAATAGGAGAAGGATCTTCTGACCCTTTAGGGACCTTTGGGACATTCAAGTCTTTCTAGTTGAAAACTTTCTCTTGTAGCAAATAGTATGGCTGAAATTTTAGTTACTTTTACTTACTGAAGTAGCTTCTTCCATGAATACTAAATATCAGAAGTTCTGGCGGAGGTGGGGGGTGGTTTGTGAAGGCATGTTTGGATCAGTCCATTGGTAAAACTGCTCTTACAGTGCAAATCAAGGCCATCCATTATCAGGTTGAAGAGTTTGCTCATTCTGCCCTAAACCCTCTCTGGCAGGCAGCAGACAAGTCTCAGTCTGGGACTCTGGAGGGAGAAGAATTTGTAGAGTTCTATAAGGCATTGACTAAGCGGCCTGAGGTGGAGGAACTGTTTGAAAACTTTTCGGCTGATGGGCAGAAGCTGACCCTGCTGGAATTTGTGGATTTCCTTCGAGAGGAGCAGAAAGAAGGAGACCGAGCTCCTGACCTTGCTCTGGAGCTCATTGACCGCCACGAGCCTTCAGATAGCGGTAAGAGGGATAGAGATGCAGAGGCACCTGGTAGATGCGGCATGATTAGAAAGATCCAGAGACAGGTAAACTTCTGCCTAACTCAAGGCAGGCTGAGTGCACCCTTACCGTCCGCCCCTACGCTATCATCTCATCCAGCCACTCCCCCTGAAGATCAGCCATTCCCTGACCAGACAAGACAGGAGTCTCCTCAGTAATGCTAGATCTCTCAGGAGGAAGAAGACTTCACAGATTTCCCTATGCTCAAGTTTCACATCCTTCACTTTCAGGAAGTTCTTCCTGATATTAACCAGTGTCCTCACTGGAAAGGGAAAACCCTTGGTCCTCTTGCCTTGGCCTCGTCTCCTCCAGTATAAATTATTCCTTTTCCTCTAGTTCCTCTTTACGATTCCTGTTTGCTGTCCCTTTAAGTGCTGGCTCTCTGCCCTTTCCTGGGCTCTCTCCAAATTCTCTAAGTGGTTCTTGAGTGTCTAAGCCCCCCGAGCCAGGAAGCTAGTCAGCCCCTGGCTGGGGGGAAGATGAGACAGCCAATCATTTAGCTCTTAACAAGTACAGTTAAAATATGCTTTCTTTGCCCTCAAACTTTCCTCCCTTTATCCCCTCAGTAGACTCCTTCCTACCCTCTATTCCCTTCAGTGTGAGGAATTTACATTATTAATAATAAATGATTTACAAGGCACTTTCACATACCTGGAAACCCTGGTGGCATAGTGGTTAAGAGCTATGGCTGCTAACCAAAAGGTTGGTAGTTCAAATCCACCAGGCACTCCTTGGAAATTCCATGGGGCAGTTCTCTGTCCTATAGGGTCACTATGAGTCGGAATCGATGCAATGGATTTTTTTTTTCACATACCTCGCTTTATTTAGTCCTCACTAAACCAAAAACCAAACCCATTGCCATCGAGTCAATTCCGACTCATAGTGACCCTATAGGAAAGAGTAGAATTGCCCCATAGGGGTTCCAAGGAGTGGCTGGTGGATTCGAATTGCCGACCTTTTGATTAGCAGCCGAATTCTTAACCACTGCACTACTAGGGCTCCTCACTACAACACTGTAAATCAACAGCAATAATCTTTACTGAGCCTTTGCTAGGTATCCCATAGTATGCTAATATCTCTACATGACCTCTCTCTTCTCATCCTTGCAATGACCCAATGAAAAAGGTTCTATATTTTTTATTGTGGTTAATATATATGTAACAAAACATTTGCCATTTCAACGTTCTTCACATGTACAATTCAGTGACATTAATTACGTTCATCATGTTGTGCAATCATTACCATTATCACCATTTCCAGTTTTTTTTCATTGCCCTTAATAGAAGCTCATTGTTCCCTAAGCAGTAGATTCTATTATTAAATCAGTTTTAACAAAAGAGGAAAACTGAGGCTTAGAAAGATTAAATGACTGGCTCAAAGCCAACAGCTAGTGAGAGGAGGAACTGGGCTTCAACCCCAGGTTATCAGATTCTACCTGGTGCCTGTTTTGAGAATGAGGATTAGAGATGGGATGAATGAGAGCTGAGTCTCAACTCCCACTTTCATTCATTCATTTACTGCTTCAGCTAATGCTCATTGAGTACATATAATATGTTAGGACCTATGCTAGGCGCCAGAGGTAAGTGGTGACTAGGTCAGACAAAGACACTGCCCTCATAGAGTTTAGAGTCAAACAGAAAGTTGTGGTCTCCATCGCTGATTCCAGATTTGAGCAGGTGCTCATAGAAGAATGGGGGCTGTAAACCAATCATTTCAGAAAATCAAATAGAAGAGGAAAGTCAAAGGGTTAAAAAATAGAATTTTCTGTTCCTATTGCAGGAGCCAATATATATTAGTGACATTTATTCTACAACCCCCCAACACCGATGGTGTTCCTTTCCCTTGCATTCAACAACCAGTTCCATGAAGGAACAGATGTCTGGCAGCAGAGTATAACATCAAGTCAGGACACCTGGGCTCCAGTCCTCACTCTGCTTCTTACAAACTTCTTATGAATCACTAGGGTAAGTCCACAGTTGACAGATGTGTTTAATGTGTATGATTTCATTTGATCACCAATTACTTTACAAAAGAGGAAACTGAGTCTCTCAGAGGTTAAGTGACTTGCCCAAGTGGTCACAGAGTTTCTCTTTCACAAACTATGAAACTCTCTTGGAACTTAGGAGTCCTGACAGATTTATTTCTTCAGGTAAAGAGGCAAGTGGGCAAGTCACTTAACCTCTCTGAGACTCAGTTTCCTCTTTTGTGAAGTAATTGGTGATCAAATGAAATCATGCACATTAAAGGTATCTGGCAACTGTGGACTTACCCCAGTGATTTGAGTTTATTACTGTCAGAATGAAATTTGCTGCCCAACTTCCCACCGTTTTCCACCATCTCCTGGCTTTGTCATATCTCAGGCAAGGAAGCTGAGCATGAGAGTCAAGTTGTTCCACCTTCCAAGGGAGTATCACTTCAGCAACATTACCCTCCGTGAGACTGCATATTCCAGCGTGGCTCTGACACCTGGCTACCAGGGTTCAAATCTCAGCCCCTCCACTTACTAGTTACGCGAGCTCGGGCAAGTTAACTGCTGGAGGGTGGATTATATTATACCAACCTTATCGTGTTAGTGAGAGCATTAAGTGAGATGCTGCATGTAAGGTGCTTGGCATCGAGCAAATGCTTAATAACTGTTAGTCATCATTCTTGTTATCATAGGAAGCCCATGCTGGAATGGTGAGCTTTACTGGAGGAGTGATGGGGCTCTGTCCTCAAAGAGAGTGTAGCCCAAGGGGATGTTGGACAAATGCCCCTCAAACCACCATATGGGAGCATTGATGATAGGTCATAGTTGGTGGCATCTACACAGCCCAGGGGAAAAAAATACAGGTACCTTGGCCATGTCACTAATAAGGCTTTGACTCTGATTCTCTCTGGGCCTCAGTTCCCTGTCTATAAAATTAGTCTTTTAGACAAGACACTGTGCTGTTCATTAGCCATGAGCTCCATGTGGCTATTTAAATTACTTAAAATCAAATAAAATTTAAAATTCAGTTCTTCAGTCACACAAGGCACATTTCAAGTGCTTAATAGCCAGCCATACGTGGTGAGAGACTACCATATTGGACAGTGCAGAATAGAACATTTCCGTTATTATAAAAACTTCTATTAGTCATGCTGGTCTAGAATGATTTTGATGATTCCCCCTTGAAGCTTTAACATTCTCTGAGGGGTGCGGGGAATTATTGAAATGACAGACGCTAGGTGGGACAAGTCTGGGATCTGGAGACTGGGAGTGGACATCTTCTGAAAGGCGGGACACTGGAGGGGGTGAGGTGAGATGTGATGGAGGATGGGCTGTAGGTGTGCTGGGAGCCCCAACTCAGAGCTTCTCACTCTAGTGTTTCCTCACCCCACACCCTAGGCAAACGGCGGCACGTGCTGAGCATGGATGGCTTCCTTAGCTACCTCTGCTCCAAGGATGGAGATATCTTCAACCCAGCCTGTCGCCCCATCTACCAGGATATGACACAACCCCTGAGCCACTACTATATCAACTCTTCTCACAACACCTACCTAGTGGGGGACCAGCTTTGTGGCCAGAGCAGCGTTGAGGGATATATTCGGTGCAGTGTGGGGAGGGAAGGTTCAGCTCATGAGAGGGACGACCTGTGGGAAACTGTGGTGGGGGAGAGGGGGAAAGGGGTGCCAGTGGATAATAGGGATTGAGAAGGTACTGTGGGGGCTTAGGGGATGAGAGTCCCTGGATATCTGAGAGACTTAGAGAAGGTACTGGAGACTGGAGGGAGAAGTGGATGAAACTCTGTGGGTGAACAGAGCTTCTCTTTCACAAGCTATAAACTGTCTTGGAACTTAGAGGTCCTGACAGATTTATTTCTTCAGGTAAATGGAAGACAGTAGAGCATAGGAATTAAAAACATGGGTTCCTAAGTCAGACTGAGTTCAAATCCTAACTCCCTCACTGAGTACTCTGGGGCTAAGTATTTAACCTCTCTATGCCTCAGTTTCCTTATCTATGAAACCAGGATGATAACAGTGCCTATTTTGTCTATGTTATTGTGACAATAAAATGAGATAATCCATGTGTCAGCACTCAAGAAGTAGTATAACCCATTGCATTGAATCAATTCCTACTCAGGGCAACCCCATGTGTTACAGAGTAGAACTGCTTCATAGGGTTTTCTTGGCTATAATCTTAAGGGAAGCACATTACCAGGCCTTTCTTCCCTGGTACCACTGGGTGAGTTCAAGGCACTAACCTTTAGGTTAGTAATCTGAGCACAAACTGTTTGTGCCACCTAGGGTCCTGACAGTAAGTAGTAGCTGCTTTAATTGTGACTACTTATGGATTAGATTGAATAGCCAAGATATCTTTGCACTGCTAGCAACTGAACTAGTAGCTTCACAGGATACAAAGATGAATGAAACATACAGTGTCTGCTCTAGGAAGATTAGAGTCTAGTTGAGAAAATAAAGCTTAACTTTACTGGAGTTTGAATAACCCAGAATTGTATAAAGATATACAGCTAAACAGCAAAAGTAGCATGAGAAAACATATGATGGGTTGTAAGGAAGGACTGTGAGTTGGGGTGGAGATGGGGGGTAATCTGTGTGAGCTGCAGCAGTGTCCCAATGGACAGAGAAGGCTCCACTGAGAAGTAGGTTGAAGGGATCTTGAGGGGTAAGTGCTGGTGAGCCCTGCTTTTTCCACAATTGGGGGAGGGTCCTTAGGTTGGAAGATCAGACCTTGACCCCTGCCGTCGCTGTGGTCTGGGTTCTTGCAGGGCCTTGAGGCGGGGGTGCCGCTGCGTGGAGGTGGATGTCTGGGATGGACCTAATGGGGAACCCATTGTTTACCATGGACATACCTTGACCTCTCGCATCCTGTTCCAAGATGTTGTGGCTACAGTAGCTCAGTATGCCTTCCAGGTAGGAGTCCAGGACAGGAATATTGGTGAGGCAAGAGGGTCTGAGCCTGGGGAGGGCGGAGGGGATGTCATATGGCACGATGTGAGTAAAAGAGATTTTAATTGTAAGGCACCAGGCTGATATTATGGATTATTATGAATAAGTGTTGACTGTCTTACCAGTAATTTGTAGTCAAAGAGGTAATTACTAGTGGTTAGTAGCTACTACTTCTAACAGCAAGGAACTGGAAGAGGGTAGATAAGGAAACAGAAAGTGGTGGGTAGGGCTAGGGGACAATAGGAATCTGGAGATGAGAGTCTGAGAGTGTAACATAAACACGTAATCAGGGGAATGGCCTAGGCTTCCCACCCTCTCTGAGCCTGAAAACTCAAAGTCCTGGAGGAACTTGGATTAAACCTGGCTCAGGCATGAGATTTGGGGTCCCAACAGTGACCTTCAGATGTGGACAGTGTTCCAGGGGTAGACCCCAGACACAAGTAAGCGCTTCTTAAGCCCTGTAATGGGATTGGAGCAGCTGAGAAATCAAGGTACTCCATAGAGTGAGTAACTAGGGGGGCCTATTAAGCAGGTGTTTGGAGAAACCAAGAGATTACAGGGCTTTAGAACTCTGTATCCCTCCTCTCACCACTAGACATCAGACTACCCAGTTATCTTGTCCTTGGAGAACCACTGCAGCTTGGAGCAGCAGGAGGTCATGGCACACCATCTGACCGAGATCCTGGGGGAGCAACTGTTGAGCACCACCTTGGATGGCCTACTGCCTATCGAGTTGCCCTCACCGGAGGTAGGAATACTGGTCCCCCAGCCCAGGTTCTACTGTGGCTTCCATATCCTCCTCTTGCTCCTTTCTTCCCATTCTCAGATAGACCATCTTGTCCTTTAGTATCCTTGGAGACAACTTTAACCAAAAAAAAAAAAAAAAAGAAAATCTAATTGAATACAGAATTCTATTTATAATTCTCTAAATTTTAAATCAATGATTTCCTTTATGTATTTTTTTCCAATGAAAATATCTTATCTTTTTCCTGATAGTTCATGATTGTTGTAGAATATTGAAACAATATACAGAAAGGGAAATCAATCGTCCTATAATCCCAACCTCTCCCATAATAACATCTGTCAATATATTTTTTAAATGCTTATATTGTATGAAGCCCTGGTGGCACAGTGCTTAAGAGCTCAGCTGCTAACCAAAAGATCGGCAGCTTGAATCTACCAGCTGCTCCTTGGAAATCCAATGGGGTAGTTCTACTCTGTCCTATAGGGTCGCTATGAGTAGGAATTGACTCGATGGCAATGGGTTTGGTTTGGTGTTTTATATTGTACACATATGTATTTATATATTCATATAAAAACATGAATATATCATATTCTATATCCTTTTTATTTAATCTCACATATAAGATATGTCATGGATGTCTTTTCATATAAATTTTTTCTTTTTAACATCTCTATAGTATTCCATGGCACATTATGGACCATAATTTATTTAACCAGCTCCCCATATTTAGGTTGTTTATAATTTTTCAATCATATACACAACTTTGCCCATTTATTCTATTATACCTTTGACGTAGATTCCTAGAAGCAAAATTTCTGGGATGAAGAGTTTTCATGCTGACAATTTTGGTTATTGCCAAGTTGCCCTCTGGAAAACATACCAAATTACACTTCAACCATCAGTATAAGAGAGCAACTACAAGTAACTCCATGAGTGAGATGATTCATAATGGCAAACATGAAAAAAGTTGTTTTTGAAAAAGAAAAACATCCATGTTTGTTTTATTTTGAATTATTTGTAAAATAATTTACTCATTTTTATTAGGGTTTATAATTTTTATTGATATAAAGCAATTCTTTAAATAGACTAATGCTTTGAAAAATATTTCTTGTAGTTTATTTTTTTCTTATAACATCTTCTGCCTTACAAAAGTTTTTAAGCTTTGTGTAGTCAAATCTGTCAACTTTTCCTTTTATGTTTTCTTGGTTTTCATGCCATATTTCTAAGGGCTTTTCCACCATAAGATTATTTTAAAAGATTCTCTATTCTAGTACTTTTATGTTCTTTATTTTTTACATGTAAATCTTGAATCTACAAGGGACTTTTATGTGTCAAATGTGAGTTAGGGTATTGTGATGGTAAAGGTTGTACATCAACTTGGCTAGGCCATGATTCTCAGTGGTTTGGCAGTTATAATACAGTTTGGCAGTTATGTAATGATATAATGATGAGATCTGATGTAATCATCTCCATGATGAGATCTGCTATGAATAGCCAATCAGTTGAAAGGGATTTTCCTTGGGGGTGTGGCTTGCATCCAATATATAGACTTTCTGGCAAATCTCCTTGGCTTTTGTTCACTCTGGATCCTGCATGCGACTCGTCATCATCTGACCTCTGGTTCTTGGGACTTGAGCTAGCAGCCTGCCATCTTACCTGCCGATCTTGGATTCAATCAGCCTCCGCAGCCCATGAGCCAGCAGCCTGCCATTTGACTTGCCAATCTTGAGTTTGTCATCCCCTGAAGCTATGTGAGTCAGGAGAAGCCTCCAGCCTGATGCCTGACCCATGGACTTGGGACTTTCCAGCCTCTACAACTGTGTGAGCCATTTCCTTGATATAAATCTCCCTCTGTCCCTCTCTTGCTCGCTCTCTATATATATGTATATATACATGCTTCACTGGTTTTGCTTCTCTGGAGAGCCCAGCCTAAGATATTTGGTACCAAGAGTGGTTCTAGAGAAACAAAATTGTAAGGCTTTTTCTAAAGTTGTTCCCAAGTCTCGTTAATCGTAAAGATGTTGATGACTCTGCTTCCAGTAGTAAAGAGGGCACTGCTAATCCATGGCATGAGGTGGCAATAGAAATATGCAAAATACTACCACCGATAGATCAAGTATTGGTGAGAGGCAAGGCTCTGGGTGATTGCATGTTTGATACTGTTCTACAATTTTATCGTAATGAGAAGTATAAGGAAGCTAGTTGATTGCTCCAAATTTCACTAAACAAAGTGGTGAAAGAAAGAGATGAGCTCAGGGATTTAGAGTGAAAGCTCAAGTGCCACATAAACAACCTCAAAGTTTCCACTTGTGCCTTGAAAGAAAGCTTTAGTTTTTATAGTAACAGAGCTGATATTGCCAAAAACCAAACCCAGAGTCTTATCATAAGAGTAGCTGAATTACAAGTCCAAGTCAATTTCCAACCTAGGGTGGTGTCTGAAGTTAAAGTGAGGGCATTGATTGGGAAGAAATGGGACCCTGAAACTTGGGATGAGGACATATGGGCAGATTATCAGGAAGATGGTGATACTGAGCCCCTAAATTCCATTGAATCACTCCTGCCAACAGAACCAGCTCTCTCACTCTCATCTGAAGAGATTACTCCATGTTTGTCTGCTAAGCCACTCTCCTCATTAAAACCGTTATCCCTTCCACCCCCATCTGATGAGATCAACCCAGCTGTGTCTGAAAAGTCCTTGTCTGAGGTATTGCCTGGGGTGACGGCTGGGGTATCATCTGGGGCAACACCTAAGGCAGATGCCTTACAAGACATTGCTGAATGTCCCCAAGACCCACTCCCACCACCCATTTTTGCTTCTAGACTTAAGTCCCAGCAAGCCCCAAGAGGTGAAGTATAAAGTGTGACTCAGGAGGAGATATGTTCTACTCCAAAAGAACTGCTTGATTGTTCTAATACATACAAACAGAAACCTGAGGAGTACGTGTAGGAATAAAGATGTGGGATAATGATGCAAGGAATATAAAGTTGAATCAGTCTGAGTTTATTTGATATGGGCCCACAAGCACAGATTCTTCATTCAGTGTTTCAGCTAGAGAGGTTAGAAAAAGATCTAATAGTTTATTTAGCTGGTTCACTAAACCATGGATTAAGTGGTGGCCTACACTAAATCAAGTTCAAATGACAAGCCTGCCATGGTATACTGCAGAAGAAGGTATCCATAGACTTAAAGAAATTGGCATGTTAACTGGATTTATCAGGTTGGCCCCACAGACCCACGTATGGAGTGCCTAGAGGACACATCTTTTACCACACAACAGTGAGGAACAATTTTGTGAAGGGAGCTCCAGCATCCTTGAAGACTGCTGTGATTGCAATTTTATGTAAGTCAGATTTGACAGTGGGAACTGCCTTAACTGAATTAAAACACCTAACTACAGTGGGGCTGATTGGACCTGTGGTGGTAGGGGTCAAGTGGCAGCACTTGACCGACAATGACAAGGTGGGTGCGGTTACTGTAACAGACAGCAGAATCAAAGCAGTAATCAGAATAATCTGAGTCGTATGGACTTACAGCATTGGCTACATAGTCATGGTGTCCCTAGAGTGAAAAAGATGGGAAATTTACCAAACATTTACTTGCTCTATACAAGCAGAAGAATTCTAGGTCAACTGAACAACAGTCTAACTTGAATTGCCGGAATAGAGAGTCATGGTCCCTGAATAAATTCCCAGGCTTGAGCCAGTTTACACACACCCAACCCCTTGAATGAAGGAGAGGCCAGGTCTCTTTGAGGAAGAACCCCACTGCACTGCCAAAAATTTATACTTCTGATTTTTCTCCCAGCCTTCCCCAAAGGGATCTACGGCCTTTTACGAGAGTGATTGTTCACTGGGGAAAAAGAAATAATCAGACTTTTGGGGGATTACTGGACACTGGCTCTGAACTGACACTAATTCCAGGAGATCCTAAACATCACTGTGTTCCATCAGTCAGAGTGGGGGCGTATGGAGCTCAAGTTATTAATGGAGTCTTAGCTCAGGTCCATTCACAATGGTTCCAGTCAGTCCCTGAACCCATCCTGTAGTGATTTCCCCAGTTCCAGAATGCATTATTGGAATAGACATACTCAGCAACTGGCAGAACCTCCACATTGGATCCTTGACAAGTGCAGTAAGGGCTATTATGGTAGGAAAAGCCAACTGGAAGCCATTAGAACTGCCCCTACCTGGGAAAAGTAATACGGCATTCCTGGAGGGATTGCAGAAACTACTGCCACCATCAAGGACTTGAAGGATGTAAGGGTGGTGATTCCTACCATATCCCCATTCAACTTTCTTATTTGACCTGTGCGAAAAACAGATGGATCTTGGAAAATGACAACGGATTATCATAAACTTAACCAGGTGGTGACGCCAATTGCAGCTGATATTCCAGGTGTGGTTTCATTGCTTGAGGAAATTAATACATCTCCTGGTATATGGTTGCAGCTATTGAACTGGCCAGTGCCTTTTTCTCAATTCTGGTTTTAAAGGAACACCAGAAGCAGTTTGCCTTCAGCTAGCAATGCCAGCAATACACTTTCACTGTCCTACCTCAGAGGTATATCAACTCTCCAGCCCTATATCATAATTTAGTCCACAGGGACCTTGAATGGCTTTCCCTTCCACAAGACATCACACTGGTCCATTACATTGATGACATTATGCTGAATGGACATATAGTAAGGAAGAAGTGTCAATGACTCTGGACTTATTGGTAAAACCTTTGTGTGCTAGAAGGTGGGAAATTAATCCAACAAAAATTCAGGCATCCTCCACCTCAGTGAAATTTCTATGGGTCCAGTGGTGTGGGACATGTTAAGATATTCCTTCTAAAGTGAAGGATAAGTTATTTCATCTGGTGCCTCCCACAACTAAAAAGAAGGCACAATGTGTGGTAGGTCTCTGGATTTTGGAGGCAACATATTACTTATTTGGGTGTGCTACTCTCACCTATTTATCAAATGTTATGGATTGAACTTTGTCACCCAAAAGTGTGTGTCAACTTGGCTAGGCCTTGATTCCCAGTGTTGTGTGGTTGTCCTCCATTTCATGATCTGATGTGATTATCCTATGTGTTGTAAATCCTAACCTCTATGATGTTAATGAGGCAGGACACATTCTACAAGAATAGACTGTATCTTGAGTCAATCTCTTTTGAGATATAAATGAGAGAAGTGAGCAGAGAGGAGAGGGAACTCATTACCACCAAGAAAGAAGAGCCAGGAGCAGAGTGCATCTTTGGACCCGGGGCTCCTGTGCTAAGAAGCTCCTAGACCTAGGGGAAGACTGATGCCAAGATACATGGAGATTTCCAAGGAACACCGGGCCCACAGATGTTGAAAGGAGACAAAGATCTTCCCCCAGAGCCAACAAAAAGAGGAAGCCTTCCCCTAGAGCTGGCGCCCTGAATTTGGACTTTTAGTCTCCTAAACTATGAGAGAATAAATTTCTGTTTGTTAAAGCTATCCACTTGTAGTATTTCTGTTATAGCAGCACTAGATAACTAAGGCATTAAGTGACTTGAAAAACTGCTAGTTTTGAGTGGGGCCCAGAACGGGAGAAGGTTCTGTTACAGGTTCAGGCTGCTGTGCAAGCTGCTTCTGCCACTTAGACCATGTGATCCAGTTGATCCAGTGGTGCTTGAAGTGTCAGTGGCAAATAGAGTTGCTAGTTGGAGTCTTTGGAAGGCCCCTACCGGTGAATCACAGCTCAGACCCTTAGGATTTTAGAGCAAAGCCCTGCCATCTTTTGCAGATAACTACTCTCTTTTTGAGAAACAGCTTTTGGGTTATTACTGGGCCTGAGTAGAGACTGAATGCTTAAACATGGGCCACCAAGTCACCATGTGGACTGAGCTGCCCATCATGAACTGGGTGTTGTCTGACCCACAGACCCATAACATTGGACATACACAGCAGCATTCCATCATTAAATGGAAATGTTATATATGAGATTGAACCCAAGCAGGATCTGAAGGCACAAGTAAGTTGCAGGAGAAAGTGGACCAAATGCCTATGGTCTCCACTCCTGTCACATTATCCTCCATCTCCCAGTCTGCACCTATGGCCTCATGGGGAGTTCTTTACTTTCAGTTGACTGAGGAAGCGAAAACTCATGCTTGGTTTACAGACGGTTCTGCACGATATGCAGGCACCACTCAGAAGAGGACAGTGGCAGCACTGTAGCCACTTTCTGGGACCTCCCTAAAGGACAGTGATGAAACGAAATCCTCCTAGTGGGCAGAACTTAGAGCACAGCACCTGGTTGTTCACTTTGCTTGGAAGGAGAAATGGCAAGATGGTGCGATTGTATACTGATTCATGGGCTGTGGCCAATGGTTTGGCTGGATGGTCAGGGACTTGGAAGGAACATAACTGGAAAATTGCAGCAAGGAGGTATGGGGAAGAAGTATGTGGATATATCTCTCTGACTGGGCCAAAAAAGTGAAGATATTTGTGTCTCTTGTGAATGCTCACCAAAGATGACCTCGACAGAGAAGAATTTTAATAATCAAGAGGATAGAATGACACGTTCTATGGAAACAAATCATCCTCTTTTCCCAGCCACTCCTATCATTGCTCAATGGGCTCATGAGCAAAGTGGTCATGGTGGCAGGGATGGGCGTTATGCATGGGCTCAGCAACACGGACTTCCACTCACCAAGTCCAACTTGGCTACAGCCACTGCTGAGTGCCCAATCTGCCCAGCAGCGGAGACCAACACTGAGTTCTCGACATGACACCATTCCTCGAGGTGATCAGCCAGCAACCTGGTGGCAGGTTGATTACACTGGACCAGTTTTATCATGGAAAGTATAACGTTCTGTTCTTACTGGAATAGACACTTACTCTGGATACAGGTTTGCCTTCCTTGTACACAATGCTTCTGCCAAAACTGCCATTCATGGACTTACAGAATGCCTTATCCACTGTCATGATATCCCACTCAGCAGCGCATTGGATTAAGGGACTCACTTCACAGCAAATGAAGTGCAGCAATGGGCCCATAGTCATGGAATTCACTGGTCTTGCCATGTTCCCTAACATCCTGAAGCAGCTAGCTTGATGGAATGGCCTTCTAATGACACAATTATAGTGCCAGCTAGGTGGAAATACATTGCAGGGTTGGGGCAGTGTTCTCCAGGAGGCTGTATATGCGCTAAACTAGCACCCCGTATATGGTGCTGTTTCTCCCATAGCCAGGAATCATGGGTTCAGGAATCAAGGGGTGGAAATGGGAGTGGTACCACTCACTATCACCCCTAGTAGCTCACTCACAAAAAGTTTGCTTCCTGTCCCCATGACCCTATGCTCTGCAGGTCTAGAAGTCTTAGTTCCAAAGGAAGGAATGCTCCCACCAGGAGACATGACGCTGATTCTATTTAACTGGAAGTTAAGAATGCCACCCATCCACTTTGGGCTCCTCATGCCTCTGGATCAATAGGCAAAGAAGAGATTTACTGTATTGGCTGATGTGATTGACTCTGATTACCAAAGGGAAATTGGATTGATATTACATAATGGAGGTAAAGAAGAGTATGTCTGGAATACAAGAGATCCCTTAGTACGTCTCTTAGTACTATCATGCCCTGTGATTAAAGTCAATGGAAAAATACAGCAACCCAATTCTGATATGACTACTAATAGCGCAGATCCTTCAGGAATGAAGATTTGGGTTACCCCACCAGGCAAAGAACCAAGGCCAGCTGAGGTGCTTGTTGAGGGTAAAGGGAATACAGAATGGGTGGTGGAAGTTATTTCTAAATACCAGCTACAACCATGTAACCAGTTGCAGAAGCAAGGACTGTAATTGTTATGAGTATTTCTTCCTTGTATGTGTGCATCAAATATTTTTGTTTTCTTCACTTATAAAATATAAAATGTAAATAGGGCTAGTGAGTTTTCAGTTGTGTGTTAGTTGCATCATGTTAGGTGCAAGTATGATTTTATAATTGTCTTTATTTAGAGATTATGTATGGTTTAAAGAGTTGTGTATAGGTGCCAAGTTGACAAGGAGTGGAATGTAATGGTTGAGGTTATGTGTCAACTTGGCTGGGCCATGATTCTTAGTAGTTTGGCAGTTATGTAATGATGTAATGATGAGGTCTGATGTAATGTGATCACCTCCATGATGAGATCTGCTATGATTTTCTTTGGGGGTGTGGCATGCATCCAATATATATGGACCTTCTGGCAAAGCTTGCTGGCGTTTGTTCACTCTGGATACTGCATGCAGCTTGTCATCATCTGACCTGCAGTTCTTGGGACTTGAGCCAGCAGCCTGCCATCTTACCTCCTGATCCTGGATTTGTCAGCCTCCACAGCCCATGAGCCAACAGCCTGCCATCTGACCTGCTGATCTAGGGTTCATCAGCCCCTGCAGTTATGTGAGTCAGCCTCCAGCCTGACGCCTGACCCATGGACTTTGGACTTTCCAGCCTCTGCAACACACACACTCACACCTCACTGGTTTTGCTTCTCTAGGGAACTCAGCCTAAGACAGGAGTCTTAGTTAATTTTTTTAATATGGATAGAAATGTTCAAGTTTCCTTAACAACAGGGGAATTCCTACTGTACATATCAAGCAGCCAATTTTCCTGTGGAACTTCTGACCATCAATTACTTCCTCTGTCTTTGAGGTGGCCCTGTGAGAGCAGTGGGACCTGCATGATCCCCATGAGGGTGCCAAAGCAGACAGGTAGACAGAACCCTTCATTTTTGTCCCCTAGGAGCTTCGAAGGAAGATCCTGCTCAAGGGAAAGAAGTCAAGGACACTTGAAGAGGATCTTGAGGAAGAGGAGGAGGAACCAGAGCAGAAGCTGGAGATGGAGGCCCAGTCCGAGCCTAAGCCTGAGCCTGAGCCCCAGGAATTGAGCCCTCGGAGTAAGGACAGAAAGGAGGAGGAGGTAAGCCAGGAGTGATCTTTGTCTGCTCCAGCATTTGGTCAGCCTGCACCAAAAGCTGAGGGTGCATATATGGAATGAGACTACTGCCAGGCCGGATAATGGTCCAGGGAGCAAAATGCCCCCTCCTCCCAATGAAAGAGGCATAAGAATGCATACATGGCAACACTATATATTATATAGTGCCATATGTAGATATATTGCAGTGGCTTCCCATCTTCCTCAGGCCATGAAATCCTTATTTTAGATGAAATTTATATGGAAGCTCAGTATACAAAATAGATCAGTGCAGAGCCATCCTAGTTGAAACAGCCATTTGGCCCTTTCCAGGGTTCTCCAGGTGACTCCTGAGACATCTTTGTACTTCTCAGTCTACTTAAGGGCCAGTTTGAAAACCACTGATAGGGGTATGTGTGTGTGTGTATAACATATTGCTTGGGTAAGTAGAGGGTACTGGAGTGATTGCTGTGGCCTCAACTAAAGTGAGCTTAGTTAGAGAAAGTTTCTTGGAAAGGGTGAGTTTGAGAAGATACCAGAAATAGCCAGAGGAGCAGGAAGGAGAGAGAAGCTCTGAGGTGGGAGAAGATGAAGGCTCTGAGAAGGCTGTGTAGAGTGGGCCATCTCCTTGTGGGGAAGGGAGGCAGAAGGGGAAGGGGTGCCATTGGTGGAACTTCCAAGATCTGGGTTTGAAGTCTGCATTTCTCTCTTCTTGTGCACTTGCTTGGCTCAGCTGATGGACTTATCCTGTTCTCTCTGGGGCTGTGGTGTCTAACCTGCTGTCATGTCCAGGAATGGAAATGAGAATTCAGGAGACAAATCCAAAAATATTATTCTGGGACCCTCACATCCTTCCAGGATGTGACTTCCATGAGCACTTGTATATCTGATATATCTGTCTGAACTCATGTACATTTTGACCAAGGATTATTGTTAATTTGTTTTAAAAGAAGATGACTCCTCTCTGTTTAAAATAATAATAATAAATTAAAAACCTATTATCCAGGATCTAACACAGAGCAGACCCTATAAGCCCAGCAGCTGAAACTGATCCCATCAGCATAGGCAGACTGCATTTATTCCCATTCCCACCCCCAGGTTGTGATGTGCCCACTGTTTTGTCCGCCTACTTGTTGTCAGACTACAGCCCAGGCTCGTATCTCCAAGCCTGGGTCCCTTCTCTTGCCTAAGCAGGTGAGGTAGGAGAAGAATGCAGTGGGGAGGCAGCGGGCAGAGGCTTAGGGTGGGTAGGGAAGTTTAAGTCTTAGCCATTGCCTTCTTCCCTCTCAGATTGCTGAGGGTTCATCTTCCTCTCCACTTTCTCCTTCTCCAGAAATCCAAGCCCATGTTGTGTCCATCCCTCTCTGCCTTGGTTGTTTACTTGAAGAATGTCCCGTTCCGCAACTTCACTCATTCGAGGGAGCACTACCGCTTCTATGAGATATCATCCTTCTCTGAAGCCAAGGCCAAGAGCCTAGTCAAGGAGGCTGGTCAGGACCAAAAGATAGGGGGTGGGGAGGGAACTGGTACAGGGTCAGCCCTGACGTAGGGCAGGCAAGTGAATCCAAAGAAAGAGGACAAAGAGCTAACAAGCTCCCCAGGGCAGGCAGGGGGAGGGTTATGAATAATGGGCTCAGGGCTCTAAGGGGAAGAAAGCCTGGATGGAACTGAGTAGAAGAAGCACCTTGAAGCTCTCTGGAGCCAGCCTCAGGAGATGGTAGGGAGAAGAGAGAAGTGGGTGGGCAGGGTGCATGGGGCCCAAGAAGTCAGCCTCGATTCCACCTCTCTCCCCACATCCCATTTACAGGCAATGAGTTTGTGCGACACAACACCTGGCAGCTAAGCCGAGTATATCCCAGTGGCCTAAGGACAGACTCTTCCAACTACAACCCCCAGGAACTCTGGAATGCAGGCTGCCAGATGGGTGAGGGGGCAAGCAGGGACTGGAAGGGGGAAACAGAGGAGCAGGTGGGAAGTAAGCCTCCTGGCAGTAGTTGGGCCCGGGAATCCTCCAAAAGTGCTAGGTTGAAAAAGATGCTATCTATGGAAGTGTTTCCAGCAGGCACTCTTCCAGCCAATACTTGTGTTTTTAACTTCTCGAAAGAGGTGCTGGGAGGCCCCCAAGATGAATCCTTCCTCTTTTCTCCTGGGGCTGTCAGTGGCTATGAATGTGCAGACTGCAGGGCTCGAGATGGACATCTGTGATGGGCTCTTCCGCCAGAACAGTGGCTGTGGCTATGTGCTGAAGCCAGACTTCCTGTGTGACACCCAGAGTTCCTTCCACCCTGAGAGGCCCATCAGTCCTTTTAAGGCCCAGACCCTCTTAATCCAGGTATGATGGAAAGAGAAACTGGGATAGCAGTGGGGGAAGAGGTGGCTAGGCCTGACAGGAGTGTAATGGGCGAAAAGCTTTTCGTGAGAGGCAGGATAGCATGACTGTTAACAGCATGAACTTTAGAACCAGGCCACCTAGGTCCAAACCCACTTACTAGTCATGTAATGTTGGGCAAGTTACTTAACCTCTCCATACCTCAGTCTTCTCACTTGCAAACTGAGGGTAATAATACTACCTACTTCACAGGGTTGTTGTGGGGATTACTTAGTTCATATATATAAAACACATACAACAATGCCTGGTACACATTAAATGCTATAAAAGAGGTTGCTATCACTAACATTTCAAACTTTCAAACCTTGTTAAGTTGCTACTCGGATGCATTTTAACTTGCAGATAGAATAGTAGGAGAAAATATATTAGTCATGGAGGAATAGCCTTGCAAACCCAAAAGCTATAGCACAAGGTCTTGTATACCTTCCCTTTCCCCTCCCCTGGGGTGTGAGAGCTGGAGCAGGGGCTGGACTGAGCAGGAACTAGTGAGGTTCCAGAGCCCTGGTTGCAGGTGATCAGTGGTCAGCAACTCCCCAAACTGGACAACACCAAAGAAGGGTCTATTGTGGATCCACTGGTGAAAGTGGAGATCATTGGCGTTCGTCCGGACACAACCCGACAGGAGACCAGCTATGTGGAGAACAACGGTGAGACTCGGCAGTACTGGGGGAGGAAGTGGGAGCATGACCATTGTTTTCCTTCCATCCTGTCCTTCATTAAACGTAGTCCATGTCACCACCCTCTCCTTGGGAGGCAGTGTACAGCAGTAGAAAGAATAAGAGCTTGGATATCTGGGGTCTGAATCCTGGCCCCTCACTTAAAAGCTCCGGTGACCTGGGCAAATTGCTTCACCACTCTGAGCTTCTGTTTCCTCCCATGTAAGATGCTGATTGCTACAAAGACTAAATGAGAGAACCAGGGAAAGTAATTCGGTGTGGTGCCAAGCATAAAGAAGAGAGCTAATAATGTCTCTTCCTTCTTTCCCTTCTACTCACCACCTCAGGTTTTAATCCATACTGGGGGCAGACATTATGCTTCCGGGTCCTGGTGCCTGAACTCGCCCTGCTGCGTTTTGTGGTAGAGGATTACGACTGGAAATCCCGAAATGACTTTGTCGGTCAGTACACCCTGCCTTGGACCTGCATGCAGCAAGGTGAGCCAGCTCTCTGATCCCTGGCCAATACCCCAACTCTGGCCACCTTGCTAATGCTGCTCTCCTGCCCCTTTCCAGGCTACCGCCACATACACTTGCTCTCCAGGGATGGTACCAGCCTCCACCCAGCTTCCATCTTTGTGCACGTCTGCATCCAGGAAGAGCTAGAGGAGGCTGAAGGCTGAAGTGGGCACATGACGTACAGGATGGTGCACCGGCTTTAGATGGTGAGGAAAACGTGGAAGGATGCTCCAGAGGGCAAACAGAGGTGGTGAAAAATCAAGTTTTGGATTGTGAATCATTCCTAGTCTCAAAATTACCTCCGCCAAACAAATCTAGGGCCTGCTCTTACATCTTTTCTTTTCTCGTTTTCACACAGCCTACAGCATCTTTCCTGCCCTTTCTCTTTGTGTACTCTATACTGGAGGTCCCTCCTTCTTGCCGTAGCTCTATCCCTTACCTGGATCTAGGACTAATCCTTCCCATGAACCCTCAAAAGTAGACTGCAACTAGAAATCCAGAAAGGCGCCTGGACTGAGAAACCCAAAGAGATATTATCCCCATCACCTCTAATTTCCTCAAGCCCAGAGCCAAGGGAAGGATGAATCAAGACTCACGGCTCCCCAAGCAAAGGCTGGGGAAGAAGAGCTGACTACAAAACTACAGCAAGAACTCTCGAGAACACTGCACAGCCCTCAGAATCCCCACTGGGCTGTTTCTCCCCAGCCCAACCTATATAAACAGAGCTTCTCCCCCCAGTTTGGCTTGGGTATGGTCTTATTGTTGGACAAGGGGAGGTACAAGGGTTGTGGGACAGCTGGCTAGACAGGTGAGACAGGGAAAGGTAGAAAAGAGGTTCCCAAGTTACCCCCTGCATCTGCTACATAGGAAGGGCACAGAAGTAAGGCTTCTAAGGGGCAGGGCAAAAGGAGGAGACAAAGGGTTATGTGGCCTCAGCCCTCCTGCAGTTTGCCCGGGATAGTCCTGGATCATGTCTATTGTCCCAGCCTAAATATTAATAGTACCCTCTTTAATTTTCCTAAGTGTCTCAACTTAGAAGGAGCCCTGGTGGTACAGTGGTTAAGCACCAAGCTGCTAACCAAAAGGTCAGCAGTTTGAACGCACCAGCCACTCTGCAGGAGAAAGATGTGGCAATCTGTTTCCATAAGATTACAGCCTTGGAAACCCTATGAGGCAGTTCTGCTCTGTTCTATAGGATCGCTGAGTTGGAACTGATTCAGTGGCAATGGGGAACGGAGCAGGTCCCAGTTTAGATAGTGAATTATATAGTCATTGTGAGGCAATTAGAATTCTGGATTAGAGATTTACCTCTCCGATCATCTGCCTCTCACACTCTCCTTGTGTCTTAACTCCTCAGCACAGCTGCTGAGCCAGTCCGAGAACTGATGGTGAGCTAAAGCTTTTTCCTGAAGGAGGCTCAGTGAGTGGCAGCCCTCCCTTGACAGGTAGACTAAGGGCTCAGAAGTAGGGAGCAGTGCCAGGGCCTCAACAGGCTCGAGGATAGAGAGAAGGCAGATCCTTCTGGGTGTGTTTCAGAATCAATCACTGAGTGAAGGTGGAAGGAGACAAAGGAGAGGCAGAGGTCTGAGAGGTGACAGGGCAGACTGAGATAACAGCCTAGAAATGTTAAGACAGAAATTTGGACGTGTCTCTAAGTTAGCAATTAAGTCTGTTTTATAGAGCATTAGGCACAACAGCACATGCGGTTAGATACAACTGTTTTTAGGATGCTAAAGGAAAATAGAACTTGACATTTTAACAAGAAAAGAGAAGAACGGAGTGGGTAAAACCAAGATCTTATAGCCAGGGACTTTAGTGGAGTGGTGGTGAAGAAACTACGAACTCGTGAGTTAAAAACAGAGTGCCTCAACGAGAAATCAATGCTGTAGTCCAGGTCTCTCTTTTATATAGCTGTCAGTTCCCAAGTACTAGAGCCAGAGTCCCACACGGGTTCCAGCCTCCCTGACACCCCAAAGCCAGCCCTTCGTAGGCCCTGAGCTCCTCAGGCCAGCTCTGGTTCCAGTTTGCACACTTCGGACCACATCCTCTTCTGTCTGGGAGGTGGGTAGGTGCTCAGCCCTCAGGTCCAGTGGGAGGAGCGGCAGGAGCAGGAGGGCCAGGGTCCTCTAGCTGCACGTCATGCAGGTGCACCGTGGGGGTGGTAGGGTCTTTGCCCACGCCCTGGTTTGGGTCAGCCTGGTCAGGGTGGTGCCTGCGCACATGCTTGACCACTTGGAATTTCTGCTTGGCCTTGTAGCTGCAGAGGCGGCAGAAAAAGGGGTGGCGGTCAGTGTGGGTGAGGGCGTGATGGCGCAGGCCGGCGGCCCAGCGGAAAGCACGGTGGCACACGTTGCACACATAGGGTTTGGCCTCGCTGTGCTTTCGGAGGTGGGTGCGCAGCAGGAAGCGCGTCTTGAAGGCCTTGCCGCACTGTTCACACATGAAGGCCCGTGCTTCCCGGTGCCGTGTCTCCCGGTGCACACGCAGCGCGTCAGCCCGGTTGGTGCAGTACTCACACTCGGGACACTGGTATGGCTTCAGTCCTGTAGGGCAGGACAAGGACAAGAGAAGGAGGATTAGTGACAGGGTATCCTCACATCAACACTGAAGGGGAGTGAACAAGGTTCAGAGGACCATAGGGTTACTGTGACATAAGGACACAAACAACAAGCTGACTAATGACCATATCTTTGGAATGCTCCAGTTCTGTCTGACACTTCTGTGCCCTTCCTCCAAGATAGCCCCTTTTATACAGTGGGTATTCAATGGATGCTGATGACTAAACAGACCCGTAAGTAGCCACCTGATAGCAAAGAAAACTCAAATATGGTAGGATTTCCAAATGGGAAATTCCAACTCCCTTTTGGTCACAGGCCACTCACAGATTTGGGAATCCATTTAAAAACAACTCCTTGTTCAACTCAAGAAGTAAAAGAAAATATTTATGAGGGAAGGGGAAGAGGTTAGAGAAATGGCATTCATAGAAACAGAGGGCCTTGAAATGCATCTGGTCAATTCCTCCGCATCTGAAGGGCCATATACAATGATCACAGGCACACAATCATTAATCCTTCTCTGTGGACCCATAATTACTGATTCTACACTCAGGAGAAGAAAAGGAAGAAATAAAACAGGGGAACCGTCTGATTTCTCCTCCTTACTCAAGATAGTGCCATCATATCCATGTAGGAACCAAGTAGACCTGCCCTGCATCACTCAGTTCAAGGTTCTCAACTGGGGTAGGTGACTTTGTACCAGTGTAGATGCCCAGGCTCTCAGGTTCACCCTTCTTCTGAAAGGTCTTCTTCAGTGGGGTGGGGAGCCATGCTGGTACAGATTCCCCAGCCCACCCCCTACCCTCAACGTGAAACTTAATGTTGGCACTGAATCTGAGCAAGGACACACACCACCGGGGAAACCCCTTGGGACCGTCAAAACCACAAAGACTCACCTGTGTGCTTAGTCATGTGGTATTTGAGCTGATTGACCCATTTGCACTTGTAGCCACAGTCAGGACACAGGTACTTCCGTTCTTCCTTGTGGATGCGCATATGGTACTGGAGGAGGGCAGAAGCAGAGACTATACCCAGGTAATGTGCACCCCTGGGTACTTACCAGAGTGGGAGTAGGGGCCAGCAGGCAGGAAGCTGCTGGCAGATAACCTTGTTCCCTGCTCCCATCCTATGCATACTCCCATTACCAGGTCTCCCAGTCTGGTTGTTTGACACCAACCTGACTCATTCGGCATCCTCCTAGATCTGCCCTCACCTGAGTTTGAATGTCAGCTATGCCACTTACTAGCTTTGTCACTGGGTAACCTAACCCCTAATTCTCAGTTTACTAATCTGTAAAATGGAAATAGTAAAAGTATCTCTATCTCACTATTTTTAAAAGGGTTAAAATTACAGTGCCTAGCATACAGCAAGTGCAGAGTAAACGTTAGCCGTTTTTATTATCCAGATTATCCCCAACCTATTACACTCCTTTATCACGTGTCAAGTACCTATTATGGAATTTTATCTTTGTAACAATCCTATAAAGTTGGTTAAGTATTATCCCTTTTTTACAGATGAGGAATCTGAGGCTCAGAGAAGCGAAGGAACTTGCCCAGGGTCACAGAGCTAATATTTAGAAAAGCCAGGATCAGAGAACCCAGGAAGTTTAACTCCAGGGCCAGCATTTCTTCCCCTCCTGCCCCCATGGCCCCTGACCTTACCTTGAGGCGAGAGGGGTCAGCACAGGCATAGGGGCAGAGGTGACAGCGGTAGGGCTTTTCCCCAGTGTGGATGCGGCTGTGCCAGGTGATCTTCTGCCGGTTCTTGGTACTGTAAGCACAGTCGGTACACTTGTAGAGCCGGGTGCCCCCATGCCCCTTCACATGGTGATCTAACACCAGCTGATGGCGGCATGCAAAGTCACAAAAGGGGCAGCGCAGAGGGGGCTGGCTAGTATCCCCATCCACATCTGAGGCTGCTGCTGAAGTCTCTTCATGCTGTTCCAGGTAGTGCTTCACCAGGCCCACCCGCTCCCGGGCAGCGAAGTCACAGAGCTGACAGCGGTGGCTAAAATGCTGCTGCCTTCGGTGCTCATCCAGTGCTGGCCGGCTGGGGAAGGCCTCCTGACAGGCCACACACTCCAGCCGTGGGTGCTGCTTACGGGTGTGTCCTCGCAGGCTGGCAGGGCTGGGGCATAGCAGTCCACAGCAAGAGCAGTGCAGGGGGCCCTCGGTAGCTTCTGTGGGAGAGCCAGGGGCTGGGGGTGTGGGCTCGGGGTGCCGGCGCAGAGTATGCTGCTTGAGTGCTGTCTCTGAGCTGAACTGGGCCTCACACTGGGGGCAGGCAAAGGCTGGGGTGCCCTGGTGGCAGCTGTTGACATGGCGTGTGATGTCATGGCGGAGGTAGCCACTGTAGTCACAGAGTGGACAGAAGTGGGTGGGTGTTTTGTCATGTACCCTTAGTCGGTGCAAGCGCAGTTTTGAGTTGGTACCAAATGTCTGGGGGCAGGAGCTGCAGGGGATGCGGCCAACACCTGTGTGCCGGGACTGGTGAGCCTCCAACCGGTACCGCCTGGTGGTAGAAAAGTCGCAGAAAGGGCACTGATGTGGCTTCACCCCTTCATGCTTGAGCCGCTGGTGCTGCTGCAGACACCGGCTCTGCTTACAGGTGAAGCTGCAGTCACTGCACTGCAGGGGGGGCCGGGGGCCACGGGCTGGGCCCGCAGTGGGGTGCCTTCTTTTCTGGTGGAGGCGCAAGGCGGCAGCGGCAGGGGCAGTGAATGGGCAGAGGTCACAGACCAGCTCTCCAGACTTGAGGGGGCAGCCTCGGGCCTGGTGAGTCCTCAGAGCGCGCTCCTGCTGGCAGCTAAAGGGGCACGTGGGGCAGGAGAAGCGAGCCCCCTTCTGTCTTAGAACCAGAGCTGCGCCCCCATCACCAGGACTGGATTCTGTGCTCCCATTGCTCAGGGGAGCAGAGTCCCCACTGTTCATGGGGGATGCAACAGGCTGGGCCTGGGGGGCCTCTCGCTTCCCTCCCCCACCACGTGCCCCCCGGCAGCCTTCGGCTACGTGAGAGGTAATGGAGGACAGCCGAGAACAAAAGAATGTGCATGAGCTGCAGTGAAACTTGCCCTGCTCAAAGCGGAACTTCTCGGGGGTCCCTGTGGGTGAGGGGTTCCCTGTAGGAGCGACCAGGGAGCCAGAGGGTGTGATAACAGGTTCCTCTATTTCTTTTG